TCGAATATCTCTGTCTTTTTATGTAACCAGATGCTCATATTTTGAAATTCCCAGTTTGACGATAAGACATTTAACCTCGAATATGTGTAATTTTATTATCACATTCGACGCGATGGGTTCCACTGGTGGGCCCCACTATAGGGCTGCCCAAAACTTCCTTCACAGCAGAAAAAATTGAATATCTCTGCTATATTTTGACGGAGGAGACTGGTTCTTTTATCACTGATAAAAGAATGCTCATAACTCATATTCATAACAGAAACGTTGATAAAAACTGTTTTGCAATATTAGAATTGTCTTGAATAAAGAAATGAAACCTTTCATGAATTGTGAAAAAGCAAAATTCATATCGCGGCGAATGTGTTAATTAGTAACACAAATATCTTCATTCTAAGCTGATCACTGTTTGGATGCATATTTAGGAATAATTCATTTCTCGTGATAGAGAGATGTCTAATTTAATAGTAATTATCCTTGAATTATCATTTCACCAAAGATTATTTCATTATGAGATCTACAAGCAAAATACACAAATAATGTCTTGATATTATTACATGAAATAAACTTTTTGCTAAACTGCTACTTATTGTTAAAGAATCCAGGATTGGTGCCGCTGGCTCGTTTTTTAGCTCATCTTGGGTGTGGGCATGAATTGAATGAAGTTCAAAAGCTACAGATAGACTCAAAATTAAGAAGGATTGTTGATGTTTATGTTGAATTATAAGTATAAAAGGAGTTGTGGCCATTTCCAATAACAATAACTCTGATCGTTGCTGCTATGATCATACCGATATTATCTAGCAAATTTGAGAGGACCTTTCGCAAGATGAAATAGATAAACATAATAATGCGCAGTTTAATGTCAGATATTGCATTGAGGGATTTGTGCATTATAGCAGTGGAGCGCGATTTCAACATCAATGACGAAAAACTCATAGATGATTTCGCTAAGTCAGGCAGAAAGAGTAGAAGTTTACTAAGTCGAATCTTGGAGTTTTTCAAAAAATTTTGTTTCGGCTAAATAAATCAAACGTCATTTTAAAAGCTTTATTATGAAAATAAATACAGTGTTTCATTCTTTCACCCTGAAACAGAAACACAGCATCACCTTACAGGACCTTCCTAAAAATCGTTAGGATGAAGTCCAACCATCCGACTTTTTTTAGTTATGCCACTAATTGTTGCCTTTTTACATGTGGATATTGTTTTGTTTATAGTATAACTTCAAACATGTTTGGACGTGTTTGCTGATCCCTTGTGGTTTGAAAACCTTCTTACATTGCAGGTATATGTAGGTGCCGCTATTTTACGAGAAATCTTTTCTATTGCGTTTGGTTGAGGATAGAATACTTTTGTTATAGTAGTTTGTTTACTCAATTGTGTGTTTGTTGTTTATGCTTTTGAACAATGATCCAAATATCTGATGACGGTGATTTAAATTGTATATGGTTGTTGATTATCTGACGCTGGTAGTCCCGATCTAGCGTGCTTGGTCGTCAGTTTCGAATTTGTCATTTCGCTAAATCATCTGTAATCTTGTGTTACCAACGCTTTCAAATATCAGCGTTCCAAGGTTGTTTCAAACGTGAATAATTATTGAACATGGATATATTTTAACAATTGATGGTACAATGTTGCCACTATTCATCTGCTTAACATGTTTCAACCAGCGAAGTCGATTTGGCCTAACAATATTCACAAAGCAAGGCTCATCAGTAGATCGTAGAGTTTTTTCGTTGGACATTCTGTCACTGAAATTTGCTCGAATAATGATATGCAAACATTTGTAATAAAAGTTCATAAGACGTCATTCTTGTACTGTTGTCAGAGTGCATACCTCATTTCCATATAGCAAGACCGGCATAATGCAGGCATGAAATACTTAGGTCAGTCCAAAAGTAGTGACGGAGGTATCATAATTCCTTATAGAAAGCTCTGAGAAACTTTCTTTCTATGTAGTCTGATAGAGAAAAGAATGCTCTATTTTTCTATGCTATTTGATCATACTTCAACTAATATCATAATAATAAACTTTTGATAAAGTCTGTTTCGCTTGGAAATGTGCTGGTTGTATAACTGCTCATTGCAACAAAATTAGGAGAGTATGTTTTGAATAGTTTTTGAGTGCATGAAGATAGAGATCTGCGGTTTTCACAGTTGGAAAGAGGAGATGAAGGCGCATCAAGCTCTGTATATTAAGGGTTTCCAATCTGAATTGTCGAGTTGTATTAATCAATTTTCAAAGTTCAGAAATATAATTTTTCATTAGAAAAAGGAAAAACAAAAAGTGATTTTTTCAGAAACTCTTGCGAAAAATAACGCAGATCTCCCACTAAAATATGTGTAAATATTGGATGATTGAATTTAGACCAGTAATATTTTCGCAGTTCTATAGATCTCTGATTGGTGATTTGAATTCACACGTGACAATTGAAAATCCAATGTAAACAATCCATGAAGTAGCGTTGTTTTGAAAAATGTCAATGGAAAATCTTTGAAAAGCGTGGCCAGAAGGCCCTTCTAATATAGAGCTTGATGCGCCTTCATTTCCTCTTTCCAACTGTGAAAACAGAAGCTCTCTATCTTCTTGCACTCAAAAGTTATTCAAAAAATACTCTCCTAACTTTGTTGCAATGAGCAGTTATACAACCAGCACATTTCCAAGCGAAACAGACTTTATCAAAGGTTTATTATTATGATATTAGTTGAAGTATGATCAAATAGCATAGAAAAATAGAGCATTCTTTTCTCTATCAGACTATATAGAAAGAAAGTTTCTCAGAGCTTTCTATAAGGAATTATGATACCTCCGTCACTACTTTTGGACTGACCTAAATATTTTGAGTTTGACCTCGATCGAGACTGTTTGTCTGCACCACATAACATGATGCAGCATATTGAATGCCCTTGACGCCTTGGAAGTTCTTGTTTCAATTTCTTTTTCTATGGTTTGATCTCGTGTGATACAGCACCCAAGACAGGAAAAATTTTGAACCTTTTCGATCATTTGATGTCGAATTGAAATATTAATAGAGATTGTGTGAATTAGTTGACTCTTAATAATTCGTCTTTCTGGATGTTCATTGTCAAAGCAAAGTCTTTAGTGACTAGTTCAAGGGTTCTTATGAAGAGTCCTACTTATATAGTATTATCAAAGATAAACACCACATAAGGCATTTAACACCAGTACCACCAACTTATTCACTGATTTGTCCTATGATGAAATCAAAAAGAAAGATACTGAAGAGTATTAGTGATTGGAAACCATCTTATATGACATCAGTCTTCAATATTGAAATTATCTGAAGATTCACCATTAATCCGCATCTTGCCTTGTGTACTTTCATATAACTAGTAGCCTTAACATACACATAAATTTCTCACTTATGCTACAGTGCTGCATGTTGGCCATAGATGATTCCGATTTAGAGAATCATAGGCATTTTGAATGTCAATAAAGCACATATATGAGGTGGCTTGTCGAATTCTTGCGACTTTCCTATAATCATATTCCGAATCATTATTTGATTCATTCTGGGACGATTCTTGCGGAATCCTGCTTGTTGCTCTAACAGTTGCATATCAACTAGATTTTGCATACGACTGAGTACGATGCGTAAGAACATCTTATCAATTGTTATTTGAAGAGAGATGCCTCTGCCATTGTCACAAGTTTTCTTGTCGCCTTTGTTTTTTTTAGATGCGAATCAAGATTGCAGACGCCAAGTTTTCTACAATGTCTTCATTTTCCTAGATTTCGACAATTATTTCATGTAGTAACTTAACCATTGCCTGCTTCTATCTTTCAACAAATCAGACGAAATATCGTAACGCACAAAAAAACACAATCATTAGTATCAATTGCACGAAGATGAGATGCTTTGAAATTTCCATCTCCACAACGGAGAGAAAATGAATTCATCATAGATAAATGTTGAGTGACAATCTAGCAATGCTATAATCAAGGTCCTATCAATATTATAGCACTCTTAAAGCTTGCTAGGTCGAGATATTGTCTACACACATCAAAAAGTGAAACAGTCATCTCTCTTTGTTTGTTTTGTTATTGTTTCACATATATATGCATTAGAATTCTTTTTTTCTGTTCTCACAATAGATTGATGGTCGAAGTGACCACTCAGTTGCTCATTTTTCTTCTTTCAAATCATCAACCGATAAGAAATTGTGTGAACTATACCATATATATTCATTTCAGCAGATCATCAAAAGTAACTTAGTCATCATAAAATATAATATAGAAACTTAGAGTGAAGGAGAAAAACAAAACATAGTATTCATTGTACCTTTAATTATACTTTAAACTATCACTATTTGAGAACTTTAAATCGGCATATGCTGATTCAAATGTATTTATATCGAGTTACAACAAAAGTTTTCGACGACTGTTGATAGAACTAAAAAAAATTACAAAATTTACTTATTTAACTGCTGAATAAATCATTTGGTTTTAATTCATATTGTTCTATACTTCATTCATATTGGTTAACACAATTAGAATTTTCAAGTTTCATGTATACTTCTCCTTATGTATTATTTAAGAAAGTGACATTATCTATATTTCATCATTTCTTACTTCATTCCAACATCAAGAGTAGTTTTTTGCTTAAAACCTAAATGAAGATCATCTATTTCATATTCATTTTAGATCTATGTAATTTTATAGTGTTTTATTTGACTTTCAATGTCATTATTATTTATTCATATAAAGCGAACATAAACATAAACACAAATCATTAAATCATCAAAATTATATAGTACATGGAAATGATTCTTTGTTTATTACATAAAAAGCAACAAGATTAAGAGCACAAAAATATAAAAGAATGCTTAACTCGCACTTATTTATAAATTGTAGCATTTTTTTATTTCTTTTCATAAAATTGAAATTTTTATCATATCGATAAAGAATTCATTTTATTTTATCAGAATTTGAAAAAGAAATTTTTTTCCCGTTGAAGATGTTTAAAAAACGCAGTAATTTAATTATCATCTGAACTAGTATCATCATCATCATCAATATCTTCCTGAGGATATGTTTCATTTAAATATTTCATTATATCATGATGTTTAAGTGATCGAGCTAATTCACTTGGTGTCATTGTTAAATTAGATTGATTTCCTTGTTTAATTAATTTACCTTCTTCAATTAAACATTTAACCATTGCTAAATCTCCATGACGAACTGCAAGATGAATAAGATTATCACCTGTGCGATTTTTTATTTCATGTATATTAGTATTAAAATATTGCAAAAGAGATTTTGTAACTAATAGATTATTATTACAAATTGCTAATTGTAATGGTGTTTGATAATCTTGATTAACATAGTCAAACTTTTCTTGAATCGAAATTGATTTTTCATGAAGATAATTAATTAGTAGATCAAGTGCTTCTGATGAAATCGAATATGATGTTATTAAATGAAAAATATTATTTCTTTTTTCATCAATATATTCAATAAGTTCTTCCGAATTTTTTCGTTCCAATAAAGCTTGAATAATTTCTATACGATTTAGACGTAAAGCATGTAAGAGAAAAGTTTCATTAAGTTCATTTTTTTGTTGAAGAATATCAATAGAAGCAATTGGTATAAATTTTAATAAAAGATCAGAATGATTCTTAATGAGAGCATCATGAAGTAATTGTGGACGTTTCTTAACGAATGAACGACATATACGTAGAAGTGGAGTATAATCATTGTTTAGAAATAATAATTCCGTGGCAGCATAGAGTTTCTCTATCAGTTTTTCATTGATATCTTTACTTGTTTGATCAATATGTAGCGATGGTAAAGAAGCTAAAGTATGAAAATGAAAACGAATAGTTCTTCCGACATTATTTGACAATTTATTGCATGTGAATCAGTTTATGAGTGAATCTTTTTAAATGATCAATGGCTTTCTGATCAAACGCTACAAGATCATATAGTATCGATTATGGTGACTCAAAAGGTGATTATGAGAAATTATCTTAGGTCTTTATATGCTGATTTTTCAGAAAATTAGTTTTTCAGACGAAAACAAACTTTGCTGGAATCATTATTGATCCATTCAGACTAGTATATTACATATGTGCAGTTTATAAAATAACAAGACTAATAGCAAAAAATAGATAGATAATAATTGAATGCTATCTACAGTATGTAGTATGAAATGAGAAAAATTTCTTACCAAAATTCGATGTAGTGACTGTTGATAGGGATGATTCCTGTAATTTTAAGAAAATAATATTTTATATAATTCATTCGAAAACTATAGATAAAACTTACTGGTTCTGATAATGATTGTTGAAATTTATCTGAATTTTTCGAATCCGGTACAAGACTATCATTTTCACTGTCATGCATGATGATCATAGAATTTAAACGTTTGTTTGGTACATTTGGCACTAGATCAGTTCGATTATCAACAGCATTTGATTGACATCTTGAACATTGATTCACTAGAAAGAGCATAAAAAAAACATACTTGATTTCAGCAATAATTTCAAAATGATCTACGATATTACATGCTGACATATAGTAATATGTTAATGTTCCTAAAGTACGATTACTTTGTTTCAATATAACATTAACTGGTTGTACCATCTCGAACGGATATGGAAATGCTGGTGTTTTAAATGATATCATTCGATCTTTAATATCAATATTATCAATTGATTGTGACCAATGATTATTTGGTAGATCGCATTCAAATGTGATTTTTAATTCTATTAGATTATAAAAATAAAATCATAATATACTTTCATTTTTTATTTAATACTCACCTCCATATTTCTTTGGTTCAAGTTTATTTGTTAAAAAAATAAGCATGTCTTCATTACTTGTATCGTAACCCCATTTAGGCGCATATTTATAGACACGACAGTTAGAAGTTGATGAATTGGTTTTTGCGGTTGTTGATTGTATATTATTGTCAACAGTTGATTCTATATCAACACCTTCAACCATTTCCTCGGAATAAACGGTTGTATCTGGATAAAGTTGAAACATAGCTTGACCATCAGTAGATACTTTTTTTGCAACAGTAAATGCTAATTGACTTTTATCCAGATTATATTCATCAATTATGTCTTTTGCACGAGAAAATTGTGCAAATGAATTATTTTGTAATGTTTGATCTAATAATAATAATAATAATAATAATAATAATAAATATTTGATTGATTATAAATTTTCTTTTTATGAAATAAATGAAAACTTACTATGACAATCAAATATACGTAAATTTGAACAAGTTTGTAAATGACAAGCTCGTTTTTTTACAATACGTAATGATGGAAAACTAAACAATAGTAGAATATTAAAAAAACTACTATAGAAAATCTTTGCATAGTTGGTCTTTTACATACCTTTTAGTACCCGAAAGACAATCTTCTGGCTGAATCGGTAACCAAACAGCATTATTATATGCATCATTACTATGCTTATTCGTTGGATTTTCAAGTTCATAGGGATGAAAATAGTGTAGATTTGTTTTATTGTATGTAACTGTTACAAGAGAAATACGGATATAATATCCATCATTTGGTTTTCGATACTCCTCAGGAATCTAATAAAAGAAATTCTTTCAATAAATTATTATAATAAATGAACTTACCAGAATTGCAGGACCTTGGAAATTCGACTCTTTATTTCGATTTTTAAGAACACCTAAACGATTGATATTGTTGTCAAATTCGGAACGATAACGTAATTTTCCACCATAATATGGTTGAGCTATTATTTTTAGACGTGTTGTATTTGATTGCATATTTGTTGGTGGAGCAATGTCTGGTGAAAGAACAAAAAAAGGGCAATATTAAAGATTAATTATAAAAGTCTTATTGATTAAATAAAAAAATATGTACACTTTTTTAATTTCAATTGAAGCTTTTCGATGTTTTGCTGTCGAACGATGTTTCTTCATAAATCTATCTATGATCTTTATCAGCGGAAATCTTAGCGATTCGAATTCGTGTAAATAGAGATGAAGAGCAGCACAAGATAAGAGAGCTATGAAAAGCAAAAGGATGACTACAATAGATGATGCCTGCACTTTCTCTAACCTATAGCAATTGGAAAGCAGAGTGGTAAAAGAAACTTGAAAATATTTCTTCTTCTCTAGCTATCACATGATTCGTTCCATTATCTATTCACAATATGTTGGTGGGGTCATGTGTGAAACCCGACTATTTCAAAATTTTGGAACCTGTCAACAAAAAATTCTCAGATCTAGAGCAGATCAGATTCAGATTCAAAAGCAGTCCAACGAGCTCTAGACACATGCCTCATCGATTGAGATTGGAGCCTGTCGGGCACGAAATTTTGGAACCTGGAGTCCGTTCTTCATCCACTCTCTATTCATTCACATTTAAGTACAAAAAACTCCAATTAAGAAAAATCAAAAATAAGTTTATCAAGAAACTGTCTTTCGACAACATAGCATTTGAAAGCTGAATACACATAAAAAGAAAGATTGTATTCGTCTTAAATCAAATCAACGAACAAAACCTTCGAATTTATTTTTGTAAAAACTTTTTCTAAACATACTACTCAATGATTCTTGATCATTTGAATCAGAACCAATTCCTGATGAAGAAGGTGATGGAGTTCCCATATCTAAATCAAATAATTAGTCTCTCTGTTTTCTACTCACAGATACTTACTGAGATCAGGTAGAACAAAAAAAGGGCTGATCATCATAGCTAAATCTGAAAAATACAAAAAAAATTATACTTGCGCAAAGTTGTTTTTGATTTTCGCAGACCTTCCATAAGTTGCGAAGGATCCGAAAGTGAGAAATCATGAAGATCATCTGATCCTAAAATAGAAGAATAAAATATAGAAAACAATTTTATTTGTATCTCATACCGATTAATAAATCATCAATGATTTGATCTGATGAATTCGACATATTTTGGATGTACAATGAAGTCTAAAACACAACAATACTATCAAATCAACTTGATCTTCTCTAATTCTTCTTCAATATGTCTGATATTATATGTGTTTATAGAATATTGTTCTTCTTGTTATTTTCACTCATGGAAGAAAAAAAGTTTTTCAACAAACTCGTAACTAACAAAGTAAATTTATTTAAATAAAATTTTTAAAAAAATAAAGCAAAAAAAAATGAAAACCAAATGATTTATATTATAAATTAGGTATTTTCTTTTCCAGCATCGATCGACAACTTCAAAAAATCAATACATTGATTATTGTCATGAGATTGTGCAATCTCTATTGGTGTTTGAGAAAGTTTGTTCTTTCCAATCAAAAGGCATTCTTTTGTGTCATTGGGTAAAATCCTTAAAACATTCTTAATTATTTCTGCACTTTCATCTTCATTCGAATTTGCAAGTAAATGTAATAAATTATTGCCATCTTTATCTTTTTGTGTAGCAAGATCACATCGGTTTTGAAGAATAGGTTCAATTAGTTTCCATTGATTACATTTAGCTGCAATTAATAATGGTGTTTCACCATTTTCATTTTCTTTTTCTAATAATCCTTGTGATGGATTCATGTCAAAAACTTGTTCAATCAGTGATAATGCTATTTGTATATGTCCACGTTGAATAGCATCATGTAATGGAGGTGGATTTTCATCACATGTAGACAACAACATACGTGTTCGACGAAATAATCGAGAAGGATCGTTAGTACAAACAAAGTTTTCTAAAGCAGTTTTTAATTCATTGAGATATGTATCAAATTTTGAATCCTTCTCTACAGAAAAAAAACAAATATATATATATATATACAAATATATATTGTTTACAAAGTGACATACCATTTGATGAAATTGGAACATGAGATTGAATAGTTTTCTACAATAATCAATCCAGATAAAAAGTCTAGAAAGAAAACAAACTAACCTCTTCTATTGATAATTGTTTCATCTGTGAAACGAGACTTTGACCACTATCAAATTCCACACGTTCATATCTTCTTTTATTACTTGTACGATTATCGTTTATATAACTTTGACACTGTGCACATAGTTGAATTGTTGTTTTCATTGCTAAAATAAAATAACAAAATATATTCGTTGATTTTCTTGTTGTTCTCACTTCTATTACATACGTGTCACATAATGAAAATCAATTGAAGATAAAACTATATTATTTTCTTTAATAACAATAGATACTTTCATGTTTTCATCTCCCGGTAATACTGGACATGGTGGTGTTCGAAATACAATTACTTTTTTATCAATATATGTTATGTCATTGACAATTTGTGTTCCAAATAGTTCGAAATCGAAACATATTGTATAGCCTTATAAAAAAATAAAAAACACATAAATAAAATATGGATAGAAAAAGTTTTAGTTGTCTAAACCTTTTCGTTTGATTGGCTTAGACATAATAATTAATACTTCATCACCACCTTGCCAATCACCTTTTTGTGGTATACATCTAATTAGATTATTCGAATTACCCTTTGAAGAATGCATTGATGAGTCTACAAAAAGAAGACATTTTTTTTTCTTGGAAAATTTTTCTTCAGGCTAAAACTAACTTCTTGCATCAGTTACTTCATCAACAATAATTTGAGATTCGGCGGTCGTATGTGGTATGGGAATAGGAAGTGAAATATTATCGTGTCGTTCAGCAATAGTAAAAATAAATTGAGATTTCCATAATTGATATACGACTATCTTGTGCTTAGCATCTTGTGAATTGAGGACACATTGCGTATCAGGCTTGTCTAATATATATAAAATATTACGTAGTCATAGATATGATTATTATTAAAGACTGGCTAACTTGAACTGAATAAACGGAACGGTCCATATTCTTTTAAATCATTTTGAATCATTTTTCTTCGACTAATGTGAAAACTAAAATTATGAAAAAAACACATTTACGAGGGAAGTCACCATTTGATCAATCGCTTTTTGCTCGAAACCTAATGATTTATGCTTAATCGACCATGCTGATCCCGACTATCACCACGATTTGGACCGTTAGGCTTCTAGTGTCTGGTTTGAGGAAAACTCGTTTTTTCAGTCCAAAATCTTTTTTCGTCAGATTGTTTTTTTTTTATTATTTGTCCAAGTAGAAGAGCATCTCGAACAATCCATAAAAACATATTTAGTTCGTTTTTCGAACGATTATCGAGAGTGCTAAAATCTATGTAAGTTTCCATGTATCAAGGTTTTTAATGTATGATGTCTTATTTGAATTTCAAGAAAATTTATTCAAATTTTCAGGAACTTATTTTGTTTTCATTTGGTGAAGATACAGTATGAAATAGATATATTGGAGGTACATAAAGTAATCCAGTGAACATATGATGCTTTTCATCAAGTTTTCATAAAACAATAAGAAAAATCATGCGAATACGCACAAACAGGGTATCTCATCAAGTGGAGTTTTTGCAACTGGCAGACACTTAGGTTAGGATGTTGTCGTCTCATGGGTGTGATGAGTTCATGACAAATCGAAAAGAAAACTATACGTTCACTCGATTCCCTCCTATACCTTCTAAACCTCGATGCCTCCTACGTCGCCATAACCTTCTATACATCTGTTATCTACTATATCTTCATCAACTGAAAGTGAAAGAAGTTCGTAAAAATTTGACTAGATTTTCTGGAAATTCAAATAAGACATCATACATTAAAAACCTTTATATATGGAAACTTATACAGATTGTAGCATCCTCAATAATCGTTCAGAAAACGAACTAAATATGTTTTTATAGATTTTTCGAGGTGCTCTTTAATCTGCACAAATAAAAAAATATTTTGACGCAATAAAAGATTTTTGGTTGGAAAACTGGATTTTCTGCAAACCGGACACTGGCGACATTGAGGTCAAAAGTGTTGTGATAGTCGAAATCGACATAGTCGATAACCTGATAAAGAGTCATCGTACAGATGACGACAGTCCTTCGTTAGTAGAACTATCTTTGATTTTTATTTACTTTTTTTCACCGGTAATAAATTCCTTTTCATTAATAGGAAAATATAATGAATTATGCTCAGGATCTTTAATCACATTTTTGTCTTCTGTATCAATTTCATAAGGATGTATACAATGATAAGGTACATGTTCGCTTTTTATAGTAACTGATGTAACTCGAATATATATTTGTCGTGTTGGATCACACCATTTCTTTGGAATCTATGAAAAGAAACAAGAACTAATAGATATGAAAAATAAACATGCATATTAAATACTTTAACAGTTGGATATTCATATTTGAGTTGATTATCTTCAGCGCGAATAAAACGTTGTGCTCGATTCTTTGTTTTATCCGTTTCACAATAATATCTATCACGATAAAATGCTTTTGGTTCAGCTAGAATGAGAAGCTTTTCCTCTTCGGATCCCAAGGTCGTATGACCAGTAGTACCTATATTCGATGACAAACTTCTAGAATCCGTATTCATTAAAATTGCTTCATAATCATTATTGCTTGGAAAAGTTGCTCCAAGATTATGAAACGAAAGAGTACGTTGACATTGATTACTATATAAATTGTATTGATGATTTGAAAATGTTGTAGAAAGCGCTATTGATTCTGACAGAGAACTTGAATTAGTATAATAAGATGGATCGATACCAGTTGGTGTAGAAATCTTACCTATATCGTGAGATAGAAAAATAAATAAATAAATTTGAAAAGTTTACACTTACTGTAATCGAAAATATCTGGTTGGCCTGAACAAAACAAAAAAAAACTAAACAATGAAATATTATTGTTTTCAATTATAAGAAAACTTACTGAGCATTTCATTTAGTATTTCAATCCTTGGTGAAGGAAGTTGTTCATTAGGATCTAATTAAGAATAACATAATTCAAAATTTTTGTTTCATAGAAGACATTCTTACCATAGTCACTCTGATTAGACATTTGATTCACTGTTTAATTATTATTCTAGAAGAATTAAAATCGATAGTTTATCAATTTTCATTTTATACTAGTTGAGCCTTATATGTATCTACTGAATTATGATTTAAGAAGGCTTCTATTTTCTCTCTGTAGCTATTAGAGTCGAAGAAATACAACGCCATCACCGAAAAACATCAAATTTTACAGAGGACTTCGTAGTTTTTCAAAATTGAGTTTGTTCTAAATTTAAAAAGAAGGAGAACCAGCCGTGTTTCTCAACAACAGTACATCTACTTGAGTGGGAACTTTCTTGTATTCATACTAGAAAGTGTTTAGGTTATGTATTTTTTTTCTTTCGAAATATGACGCATTGTTGACTTTAGCCACGATTTCAAAAAATAATGCTTTCACTGATAAAGTTCGAAAAAACTTGAATCTGTAGTTGCTCTCAAGGTTTTCTTATTTTTTACTCGAACAGAATGAAACAAAGACAAACAAAAAACCGATAGAGAATGCAAACAATATTTATTGCAGTATGTATGAAAAACATTTCACGCCTGTTCAACTTACTGTGATTGAGAAAGAGAATACTCGAAAGAGTAGATCTTTTTCTCTTGCACAATCCCAATATCTCTCACAGGAAAGCATCGAGAAATTTCGAGTCAAATATTTATCTAATATAATCAGCACTTCAACTCTCAAAATTTTTTATCAGTCGTTCTCTAAAACTACGAGATACAACGGAGAAGGATACAAAAAATCTCTTCAACATTCATTTCCTACCTGTTGCAATAGAAGATCTTGTATTATTCTTAAACATTGAAGAAAACCTATCAGGAGGTCAAAACTCTTACATTTTGTGAAATATGAATTTGAATTATTAATCACTAAAAGGACAAAGAATTGAATAGAAGATCTCTCTGAAATATTTGTTAACTTAGCCATTGTAGAGGACTGAAGATCTTCTATCACACTTGGAAATTAACGACAATTTAAAAAACGTGATGGTGTAAAGAAACTTTACAATTAACAGAAAAAATAATAACAAACAAAAAAAAATAAGGTATCAATCAATCAAATGGAAAAAACTTTATTGAAGCAAAAAAAAAAGTTTTTATTACAAGTCAAATAAGAAAGCTTGAAAAAAGAAAATTTCTTTTACTGTTTTTTTTTTATTTTCGAAGGCAACACTTCTTTTTGTAAAAAATAAGTTTTTTCGTCAACTGATTGTTTTTATAATGTTTCTTTTATAAATGCGTAATTTTATTCTGATATAAGAAGATTCTTCCATGTGAGTATGAGATGAATTACTCTGTATTGTGCTTATTTCATATATTCAAACTTATCAAACTATCTTGTTCTTTTTTATTGCTGATTCATACAAAGGTAATCATTCTCTAAGTAGTTGATCAAATAGCTGCCTATGATTCATAAGCACACCTACTTGAAAAATATACACTGCCGAGACATTTATTGGTTTCTTTTTCATTGTATGAGTCAAAGATCGTAAATATAAATGGAAGTTTCCATCATCAATATAATTCTGTATGTGTATTTTCCTCTAACTCAGTTCTTTGTATGATAGAATAGTATGTTAATTTATCATAACAAATAAATCATGAAGATACATTTATTCTCTAGTTTTTCAAATGAAATATGAAAGGTTTAATTCTTTTATGCAACATTTGGCAACACATATCAGAGATAGGATCGGTTCGGTTTCAAAAAAACGCAAATCGATCTTATCTGTGATACATAATAGAAAGTGTCATTGTTATTCTGTTGCTTGAGTAAGAGTAACTTATGGGCTATTCCCACAAAATTTACAAAATAAAATTGTCAGGCATGGATTCAGTGTGGAGATTTAGTATTATGTAAAATATTGACTTCATTATTTATCACAATATATTTGTATTACCCAGTGAAAAATATTTACTGATTTTAATCGGATTTTTGTGAAACAAAATCAAAATTAAAATCGATTGATAATTTTGATTATTATTCATCATGACTTAACTATTACGTGATATTGTTACTTAAGTAGTGTGAAATTTTCTGATTGAAATTGGATTATTTTGCAGCAAAATCAAGATTATAAATCGATTACTAATTTCGATTTTCCTGCAAATAATCCGATTTCAATCAGAAAATTTCACACTACATAAGTAACAATATCAAGTAATAGTTAAGTTATGATCAATAATAATCCAAATTATCAATCGATTTTAATTTTGATTTTGTTTCATAAAAATTCGATTAAAATCAGTAAATATTTTTCACTGGGATAAGATATAGATAATACGTGTGTGGGTTGAATGAAAAGAAGTACTCGATTTTTTATGACCTTCATACAAAGTAATACGTTTATTGTACTTTTGACTGTTAGAATAAACGACTACGTCATTCGGTGACATAATGGTAGACAGCTTCCGATGATAGATATACTCTAATTACACAGACATCATATATGAAGACGATCAGACCAATTATTTCTGTAGAAAGAAATAGTATACCATAATGATAGCAATCAGAAGAGCATAAATGGTGATAAGTTGTTACATTAATAAATCAATAATGTCTATCTCGATTAAGTTTATGACAACTTATGTTTATGTCGTGTATCTTTTCTTATATGAAAATATTCACAGAAAATATTTTATTGCGTAAATACACAAAATCTGTCGTAGAAATATAATGTATATGAATATGAATATATATTGTGTACTTTAGAGTCTAATGTAAAAACTCGATATGTATATTTGATAAATTATAAACATTAATTATGAAAAATTATTTCAACTATTAATTGTACACTTTTTTAATGAATACAAACACCAGCTAATGCATACATTTGTGACAACATATAAATATTTATATTATAACTAACTTATGTTTTTCAATGTTTTTTTTTTAAAGTAACAAGAAAGGATAAGTTTCTTGATTATTCTATCCACATATCGAACAATCGTTATTCTTGATATTTTTATAATTCATATACGTTCAAGCAATTTATCCATATTGAGGTACATGAGAAATAAAAAGACCAGAATATAATGGATATATTCCAAGTGCTGCCCATCGGTAGAATACAAAGTATTCAGCATTCATAAACAAGTTTTATCGAAATAACATTAAATACCAGTTATGATAAAATTTTCATATGGAAGAGACAAATAGATCAAACGAAATATTAAGATTAATTTGATTATCTAAATTAGTATTAATATCAAATAGTATGACCAACACAATCACTGAACATTGTCAACAATAGCTTTTAAATTAGTAGCTAAAAGTTTTCATGATGCATATTTTGCATGAATTCATAAGGACAATAAATAAAAAATAAATATCATTTTTCTTCGTGAAAAAAGTAGTTCGCATTGCTGTATTCTGAAGTTTAAATATAGAATTTCAACACATGAATTACGTCGAAAAAAAACCCAGCAGTTAATCAATAAAAATTGCTTCCCCAATGAAAAAAGTAACATGAATAATCCTTTGTAATGCTATTCTATATCAAATTATGAACTTATATCGATGAAAAACTACGAAAGAAGTGTAATTATTAATTAAATGCAAAAATTTCATAATAATTGTCAATGCTATAAAGTTGAAAATATTCTTTGAACTTTATATTTATTTTACTACTTTGAAGATATCTTCATATCATACAAATTCAACAATGACTCATTGTTTCTTTTTTTTTGATAAAATCAAATGTTCCATTTCTTAAGTGTAATCCCACTAACCTATGAAAATTCTACAAATAACAGTCGGAAGATTGAATCATCATTTATGAAAATATTTGATTCAATCAACTGATAACTCACGACTTATTTTAACTGCCTCGAGATCTTCTTGACATACGAAATTTCTATCATCAATATTTCCCACTATGAGACATTTAAAACAACAAACAAATAATACGAAACCGTTGCAAACATATTAATATTTACAATCATTTGTACACTTTCTTAATAAGTTATTGCCTAATTACTATGAAAATATGTTTTCTTGAATACCCTTATTCATGCTTAAATGTATCGATAGACTTCAAAGATTAATATTATAGACCGAACTAAATATCTTTTTCAAGAAATATTATCAGTGGTCAATAAATAATTGTATTTTTAGTATTTTCAAAATTTCTTCTCCTTTATTTTTCACTTGATTGAAATATCATTCTTTTTATATAAAAAGATAGAGCTTGAAATTCTATACAAAACTATATATGATATAATCTAAAAATTGTTATTAATAGATTTGAAAAAAACATGATAAGTAAAGATATGAAGCTTGTGGTGGACTTGCAAAAATTCATCGAGATTTAGGTGGTGCGATATCAAAGCAAACAATCAATTCATAAATAAAACTGATCAGCCGCATTGGTTCTATTAATTTATTCTATCATCGCGGTCGTTCACATACAGTTCAAGGAAAAGTAAATATCTCGAAGGTGAAGGGATGCCTACACGCGTTACTTCAATGAAAAATAATGTACAAACCATTTTTTTTTGTGCATTCATACCGAAAAATTATTAATCATCAAATCTGTCTGATTTGAATCCGTTTATGAAATAAACTGACCAAAACTGTGAATTACGACCATAAAATAACATTGGTAAACGAAATAAAACGTTCTGTCAAAAGAATTATGAAAGAAAAAAATATTTACATGTTGCACTTGATTTCACTGTACGATTACATTCATTAAATCAAGTATGCTACTATTTCAAACGTTATCTTTTGATTAAAAAAAAAAGTTTCAATCAAGCGAAAAATAGATAAGAAATTTTGAACATACCATGAGTATAATCATTTATGGACCTTTTTTCTCTTCCCTCTCCCTTATTCATTTAAAAATGATCAACATCTAAATTTTATTTATCATAATTATTTTCTCAAATGTAATTAAATTAATACTCACTTTTCAGAACTAATATTTCAAACGGTCATAATTTTTCGATAAAATTTTCTTCTGCTTCTGTTGTAAAATAATGACGGACATTGCATATCTAGTGACATTGGTAGGTACGATCAAAATCAAGATTTTTAACAATTCACAAAACTATCTTTCTTCACTCAATCCATGTTAAAATGCATGCATCTGTTGAAAAAAAAACAGAAACTATATAAATAAAAAACTGCAACTATTGTACCTGAGAAAATGATTTAGTCAGAGAACTGTACTACTTAATTACATTACTTTTAAAAACATTATCCAAGATGTGCAATGATAAAACATTATTGAGCACATTGTGGAAATAGCAATACATAGACTCGATTTCACATCATTCTGCTTTGTCGAAGTTACCAAAAATTGTTATACATCATGGTTTGATTTGTATTAATCAAAAAAATTACCTGAAGAACAAAATAAACGGACAATACGATACACAAAAACAAATAGAAAAAAGAAAGAATCGTCTTTTTACTCAAAATAAAAACAAAAAAAATGAACGTTGAGTAAATAGATATAGATCAAAAAAGAAAAAAGAATCTAGTGCAATGAAACATGGAAATTTCCAATTCAAACACAAATGTACGCATACGACTGATCAACTAATCACATCACAAAACCATCCAAAAGATCAGTTTTACATCAAACAACATTCACTTTCATTTTGTCCAATATTATCGACCTCTGAAAATGCATCACCAAATAAATTTTCTTCACCACTACCTAATCCACCAAAACCGGGTAAACCAGGAAAAAATAAAAGTTCTTTTGGTGGATCACCATATGTTTGTAATTGTTGAAATTTTTGTAATACACGTTGAATTTGTTGATTATCATTGGATACTGTTTCATATTCTCGACATATATCTTTAACACATTGATGTTGTTTTGTATAACGTTGAAATTCTTCATCAGTTAAATTATCTTTATTTTTTGTTAACCATTCTTCATATGATTCATCAACAGCTTGACATGCTGGTAACATAACATCTTTTGATAATATACTTGACATAAATAAATTTAATTGTTCAACATGTGGTTCATTTGTTATTGTTGTTGCTTCTGTTGTTAAGGTTGTATTTGGTTGATCAGCTAATTTTTCTAATGCTTTTTCAATATCTTCATCTTTTATTTTTTGTAATAATTCAGCATGTTTACCCAATTGAGAAAAAACATTAAATATATTATTTGTGTCTGTTTCATTTTCATTCGTTGTTTCACCTAAACCAAATGGAAAATTTGATAAAAGATTTGGAATTGAATCAAGTTCATTTAAAAATTTTTCATCATTAAAACACATGGCTTCAAATGTTGTTTGTAATGGATCTGATGGTGGTGGTGCTGTATCAGATGAACTGATTACTGATTCTTTTTTTACAGTTGAACTTTCTTTAAAATCTGCTAAAGCATCATCCAATAAATTATCAAGTGATTTCGATTCATCATTTGTTGTTGTTGATGAGGAGGAGGGTAATTCTGACATATCTACAAAATCACACGTTGTTTCTAATAAGTCTGTTTTCAATTATTATTATTGTTATTATTATTATTATTATTATTATTATTATAAACAGAAAAACACATTATTGACTGTTATATTTTGTCGATAAACGAAACAAAAAAGTGGCTGTCATTTGTTTAGCTTTTTTTTGTACAATAAAAAACAAAGAGATTCGTAAAACACAGATTGGCAGTGATTGGGGAATAAAAGCATAAATCATTCTTTTGTTTTTGTCATATGAAAGACAGACAAATAGACAAACAAAACACAAAAACTGATGATTATTTGAAATTAAGTACATTTAATTAAATAAAAAAAACATATACAGAGAGAGAGAGAGAGAGAGAGAGAGCAAGAGAGCGAGAAAAAAACAAAATTTGAGAAGACACCGGCGCAGGATTGGGCAAATAAAAATGATTTGTACGCTAAAACCATTGAATGAAAATACTAAAATAAATTAATTTTTTCCAGCACCAAGTACTTCAGCACGTTCTTCTTCATTTAAACCAAGATGAAGTGTTCGACGTACTAAAAGCAAAAAGCAAAAAAAAAAAAAAAACAATTTCTTAATTTAATTTTATAAGAATATACATGATCGTCGTTGACCACCGTATCGAGCTGTTTTACGTTGTTTAAGAGCATCTCTTGATGCTGTTAATGTAGCATTTTTAACTAGATCATCAAGTAATTCATCACTTGTATCAAAAGCTTCAGTTTCATTTGGATTAGCTGATGGTTTTACACTTAATGTTGATGGAGATTTAACAGCAGGTTTTTTCAAAGTATTACCTAAAACAATATTAATAAATTTCTACATTACACTATTTTTTCAGTAGAATTTCATCTATGACTATGATTATCTGAAAATAAAATAAAAAACGAGGAAATCTAATCCTACAGATCTGTATCTGTGCTGACTACCGATTATCTATTAGAGATTTGCAGAATTACCCTACCTGGCAGTATAGGATGAAGTACAGATAAAGTAATAGTTAGAAATTCTGGCTCAGTGATGATACAGGTTGCGGAAGAAGCTTTTTCTGAAAGTCTCTAATGTGATACTATTTTGCTGCTGCTCGGTTTTTAGAGTCTTTCAACTAGAGTAGAATTACGAAAGAATGGAATATAAACTTCATAGGGTAAGGTAAGGACAGATTCTACAAGATAGGGTAGGGTAAAGATTAGAGAATTATCTCTAAGTTAGAATATTAAAAAAAAAGCGTATCTTGTACATCTCAATGATCTACATTCGTCGAATAAAGTTTAAGTCATTATCAAATGTTCTTGTTTTGATTCAAATACTATAAATAATATTGTTTTATATTAATTTAATCGAATCAGCTATTTTTTCTTTGTGGTATACGGATTTTCGATTTCTTTATTATTTGTATCTCAAATAGAATAGTTAATGAATACTTTTTTATTTTATCATTACGGAAAGTTACTTTTTTAAAATAACGGAGATTTATTAGTTTATTGAAGCATCCAAAAAAAAGCTAACTCTCAGTCATATTTTAAATCTCAATTAAATTAAGAAAATCAAAAACAATAAAATTCCCAGCTGACGTCATACAAGAATAAAATATAATTCATAATGAAACTATTTTATAAGATGACTATACAAAGAAAAATATTTTCTCGACATACCAGAAGCTTTTTCTCTTAGTCTATGACCAGGCATCATTGTTTCTTGTTTTGATGCATTATTTACAGCAGCTGCCAAGCCACTTGATACATTCGATTGTGTTGTTTGTGATTTTGGTTGTTGTTTGACTTCAGTAGGTGTCGTACGAGTTGAATCATTAGTTGTTCGACTACTTGATGTGTTTAATTTCTCATTGGTTCGTTGGTAAATAAATTCAGCTTCATCATCTGTTCGAGAATCATTTGGTAAAGCATGTTTAAGTAAATTACTTTTTTCTGGAATAATCTAATGAAATAGAAAAAAGAAAAAAGAAAAAAACTCAAATGTTCATATGAAAAATGATTCACAAAAAATAGCTAACTTCAGTTATTAATTTTCCTCGTGTTCGATTTCTTTCACCTCGATTTTGTTTCTTTTGTTTTTGTGTTGTTATACGATCACGTGTAGTACGATATTCAAGTGCAAATTCGCTTAGTATTTTACAGAATGCAGTTACTTTTGTTTCTTTTATCATACTAGAAGGATAACCAAGCCAAAGAAGAAATTTTTGAAAACGATTTATTACACGACGATGAATAAGTTTTAATAAACAAATTCGTTCAGCACAATCACTTAAAAATTCTGCCAATCTAAATAAGAAAAAGAAAAAAAAACAAACAAATTCAAAATTTAACCAAAAAAATAAATACAACAAAATTAAACATTAAAGAATAAGCGAGATATTCATTGTGAAGCAAAGTTTGATCCTTTTAAGTGTATCATTGTGTATGTAGAGAGAGAGAAGAGAAGAAAAGCAAGTAAGTCCATAAATATACATACGTGCCATAATAAATTTTACCATTAATTTTAAGATCAGTTCTGAAAATGGTTTTTCTCACTATTCAATTTTATTTTTATAAAAAACTTTCATCAATTGCCTATGAGAGTTTAGAATAAAATTTAACATAAATACATACTTTGTTTTAACTTGTGGTGTTTCATGTTTACTAATTGCTCGTAAATGATCAAATGAAGCTCGACAATCAGTTTCAAGTTTATTTAATTTTAATTCAAGTTCATCAAAATCAACCTAAAATAATAAAGAATCAATATTCTTTTTTATTGTTTGTTCTAATAATAAAAAATTATGATTTCTATACTTTAGAACATCGTGTTATTTGACCAATTTCTGAATAAAGATCACTTGTATCAGGATATTTTTCAACGACAATATTGCACACATGAAAAAGTAATGAATGTTTTTGTATTGTATCTTTAACTTCAGGAACTTTCGCAAGATAATCAAGTTGAAAACCAATTGACTTTAATTGAAAGATTAAAAAAAAAAGAATATAAAATATTTGATTTAAATAAACAAAGAAAGAAAAAGAATTTACTTCAATTCCATTAAGATAATTTCCAATAGCAAGAAGAACTTCAAGTATACGTCGAAGTGTTATATTTTCTTTTAAATTTTTCATTCCATTTTTTAAATCCATTAATGGTTCAGCAATTTCCTAAAAAATAAAATTTTCAAGTTCTTTTATTCATCTTTTTTGCTTTTAAACAAACCAATTCAATATTGTCAAAATCAAGTTTAAATAACCATAATTTAAGACGTGCTTCAAGTTCAACAACAGATGCAAGTGTTAATAAAAATTGTTCAGCATTTCCTAATGGAATATCAGTATTAGCCATTTGAGCTTCTATTATACGATTTTTTTCTTCTTCAGTTGGAAGCATAGTTAATAATTTCTATGAAATATAAATTTATTGTATATCAAATGTTGGAATAGAAACCAAAAATTAATTTCACAGAAAGATTGATTGGAATGAAACATACGAAAGAAAAAGACAATATTCTCTTGGCTTGAAATGAGACTTTATGTAATAAGCAAATAGATATTTGATCTTGAATTAGATATCGAATTTCTTTAGTCTACTATCCTACATTGATAAATGGACCAATTATTCGTTGGCTTATCTCAAAATTTTCAGAAAATTCCAGAACAAATTATTATCTAGGAAAATACTAATAACTTCTACTTCTGCGTTTCTCTAGACAGATTCTTTCATCATACGAAACTACTTATAAAAAGAGTATCAAGTTATAATAAAGATGACACATGGACATGTTTTCTACTGAGATCTATATTTTAAAGATGAAATTAAAAAGAAAACTTTATATCCAAAAGGAAATATACTGATGGCAAAAACTATCTAGATACTATCATTAAAAAAAATATACCTGTAAGAAACGTGCTACTACTATTGAGGAAGAATGTAATCTTTGTATAAATTGTCAGCAATGGATCTATACTAATTAAACTTTTAAAATAAATTCGAATCAATTTGAATAATTATTTTTAATGAGAACATAGAATTAATTATCCAAATACTTAAAAATATCTCGTCAATATCTCAGTATTATGTTTTTTCTAATAAGTAAATTTACCTCAATGCCTTCTTTATTAATAACACTACTATCCATTTTTAGAATAGCTGCTTTAATTGTTCGTGCTGTTGGTAAAACAGTTAAACCAATATTAATTGCATTTGAACGTTTTGTATCGAGTACAGTTATTTCTTTTTTAACGTCACCACCTTTCTATATATATAAAAAAAAGAAAACAATTATATATTCTTATTTCTATATATTAAATTGCTAAAATATTTGCCCGAAGAAAAAAAAACAAGAAGCAAATATATACAGAAAGCACACTCACATAGAAAGTACAACATATTTATGATTACATTAAATTTTAATTTGTGACAATAAAACCCTAATTGTTAGTCAAATATACACACATACATGAAGAAAGACAAAAACTATCTCAAAAAAGTTTTATTTGTTTTGATTATATCAAATATAAATAGATACGAATATTTTCGATAATAATTAAACATTTTGAAAAAGTATTAATTTAATAAGACAAAATCAAGGAATATTTTATGAAAATATTACGATTATTGATTAACACATATGTATTTTATACTTACGGTTTCCTATATGAAAGACAGAGACAAAGAAAGAAATATATATATTAATATGAAATGAAACATATTTATTAGAATTATTCTCAAGTAAAATATCCATTTCAATAATCTCAAAAACAAAATTGGTTTTCCTAGAATAATTTTGATTATTACCTTGATTTTAACGTCACTTTGTTTTAATTCGAAGAGTTGCGCTAATTTTTCAGTATCTAATTGAACTTTAATTAATGATTGCCATAGTGAGTCTTCAGCTCCTGGTACAGTAGGCATCATATTGGGAGCTGTTTCACGCCAATGTAAACGTATAGTCTTGACAGATTTACTAATTGTTTGTGGTTTTGTTGGTAGCCGTGGTGGACCATTAATGCCACCATTACTCATAGTCATAGGTGGTGGTGGTGGTGGAGGCCCCATACCTCTCGGTAAGAATGGAGGTGGAGGTGGTGCACCACCCATTGGGGGAGGAGGCGGTGGTGGACCGCCAAGCATCATTGGTGGTGGTGGAGGTGGTGGTCCACCACCGTTCATCATCATTGGTGGTGGTGGAGGAAATCCTGGTCGACCACCTCCAGGCATCATAATATTTGCATCATCTCGTTCATCCAATTCTTCAAAATTAAGATCTTGTACAACTAATCTACGCGAAAGTACTTTGCCGACAATAGATTCCCATTGAAGATCATTATCCGATCGAGGTTTAGACAGTAATGCATCGGGTAATTGACCAGATAAACCAATCCCAGGTAGTATAAGTGGTGGGGGTTTTGTTGCTTGTTGTAAACCTATAAAAGATAACATTGAAGTTTCTTTTAACTTAATAAAATATTCAATATTTACTATCTTTTGCTCGCGTAACAGCACCAACAAGTTCTGTTGATGGTGTTACTTTTGCATCTTTGACAAGAATAGTTGGTTGACCATTTACTGTTGCTGCATCATTTCCAGTTGCTGATGACAAACTCATTTGACGTGTTAGTGCTTCAATTGCACTACTACTTGTTATACTTTTTTGATGAGCAAGTGGTGGTCGTGAAAATACTTTTGTGTCAGGTGCGCGAGGACTTTGTGGTGCTGTTTGTTGTTGTTGTTGATAATAATGATGAGAAGGTGTTGGAGGTGGTGAAATAGCATCAACAGTTGCTGATGGACGTGTAAAATGACTGGACGGAACAGTATGAGTATCCACAGCTGGAGGTGATTTTAATGCTAGATAAAGATTTATTTATAAATAATGAATTAAGATATTCTAATAAAATATTGTTTTATTTACGTGGTAATTGTTGTTGATTTAGTCGATTGGCATCAACAGATTGTGTTGCCGTTTCAGTAGGAGCGTTCCAACGATCACGATTTCGTGCAGTTGATGTTGCTTTAGGTATTTGAGCTTTGGCTGCTGCAGCTTCACGTTGTTGAGTTTCTGCTTCCCATCGATTTTGCATTCGACGTATAGCACTACTGTCTGGTGGTGGTACTTTTTGTCTAAATATATAGTTAGTTATTTTAAGATAAACCGAAACAATAAGAACATACAATTGTTTTTCTTGCACTTCTTGTTCTTTTTTTTGAGAAGTTAAAATTGAATTGGATGAACATCGTCGCATACTTTGTCGATCAGCTGTAGAACTTTTAACTCGTATTTTTCGTCTAAGATATAATTTATAAAAACTTTAATGGTAAAGAAACAGAAGCATCCAAGCAAAACAAAAAAAAGTGAAATCATGTACAAGGAGAAAAATGATGTAGCGTTTGTAAAATATAAAGCAAGCATACTCATCACTATCGTCGTCATCATCCAACGATGCGGTGAAATCATCATGTCCATTCAATGAAACAATCGCATCATCATGTTGTCGCAATATTGAATCGATTAAATGTAAATTTTTTTGACGAATATTTCCATTATTTATATTATCAGTTATCATACGTTCTTGTTGACTGTCATAAAAACCATTTGTTTCAAAATCCACAGATGAATAACGACGTGATGATGTTCGATCAAATACTGATTTTGTACGCGGCACACGCCTATTTAAAGCGATAAGCATGGGGTGGTTTTTTTGTGTGAAAGATAACAGAACATGCTGGATTGAAAAACAAAAAACAATATTCGAGGTGAAGCTACTTCTACATTTTGTTGGGAAAAGAACTTTCAAATTTTACCTCGAAAGAACATTTTCAAAGATATTCGATAATGATGGAGATCTAATTTTCAAGTTGACAGTTCAAAAAAGTTATTTTCCCGAAGATTTTTTTTTCTCATCAAAAAGTATCTGCCACAAGCTAGCATGCTGAATAAATAATTACTTATGTAATACGTACCTTATTGATTGACCAATTGTTGTATCATCTTCGCCATCTTCATGTCGAAGAGCAGCCTAAAATGGACAACCAAAACGAAATTGTAATTAATCATTTGATATGCTGACGTTAGAATCAAGCTTATAAATTTTTGTTTTCTTTATTATGCACATTTTATGATTAAACATAAGCAGCTTATACAAAACTCAGTTATATTCAGACAACAATATAAGTACAATGATGATACCTCGAACTTTGCTCTTTCTAATACTAAAAATGATAATATATTGAATTGATCTATATTTAAACTTACATCATAAATATTAAATTGTTCAACAAGATCTGGTTCTGGTGGTTTTCTATTAAGAAAAAATTGTGTACATCTATGCATGCCTTGTTTTTCTAATGCATCAGTCATATCATAAAATGTATCTTGATCAGGTATAGCTGCTAAAACTGTATTAAATAAAGTAATTATTAACAAAACAACTTCCGATGCTGAATTATCCATTTCATTTAAAATTTTCATTGCATTTGACCATAACAGACGTTTAGCTGTTCGATCAACTTTAGTTACAGCTGATAAAATTAATAAAGCATTTGTTTCTGTATATTCAGCAAATACAATTAAAAGTTTTAAACTTGTTTTAACAACAAGTCGAAACTAAATATAAGAACAATCACAAAAACCAAAATAAACATTTTATAGAAAAAGAAAAAAAATTTTCTTACACTTGACTCTACTAATGAATAGAGCCATTGAACAACTTCATTTTGATTCATAACAGCATTCATTCCATCAACATAAAGCATTAATTGACCAAGTGCTATGAAAGAAAACCATAAGATTTATATTTGAAAAGAAATTTTTCTACCTCGTAAAATATAATTTTGATAATTTTGATCAGCTGCACCACCTATTTTAACTAAACATTGTAAACCTTGATTATTAACAAATTCATGTACAAGATCTTTATCATCCTTAAAAAAAAAGAGGTCACAAATTTATCATTGACGAAAAACAAAACTAATTTATTTATTTTACTTGAAAAATTTGTTTAAGTGAAAAAAGTGATCGTCGTAATTCACGTCCATCTGAATTCAATAATTTATCTATAAATAAAACATTTTGTTAAATCCAATAGCAAAAAAACAAACATTCAGTTTTTTTGTATACCTATACAAGCATGGACTCGTACACTAAGTTGAGTACGAAGAACTATTGACCATTTACGTCTAAAAAAAAAGAAAAAGAAATTTGATACAAGAGTTAACACAGTTAGATAAAAAAAAACTTAAGATTATTTATTATTATTAATCTCCAATAATAATAAAAATAATCCAGACAGAGTTACATATAATGAACCCATGTGGTTAAATGTAAACAAAAAAATGACGTACCCTTCTGTAAAAACATCAATTTCTTCTCGTTGTTCATCGAGTGTTTGATCAAGATCAAGATAAGGACCAAGTTCAGATCGACTTCCATCTTGTCGACACAATTGAAGTGTACAATCAGCAATCTATATATAGATATGTTTTACTATTTTTGAATTTTTTTCTATTTTAATAAATTAAAATTTACTTTATGTGGAGCATTAAGAACTTTATGTACACTACATATTTGATTACTTAAGACAGTTGATGTAAGAAATGTAAATGATGGTGGTCGAGCTGGTTCAGGTAAATTTACACTTGAAAATGGATCCGTATCATCGAGATATTGTATACGACATTGTAATGTTGATGAATTACCATTTAATCCACTAGTTTCATTATAAGTATTTGTTGTTGATGAAGCTAATGATGAAGTTGACATTATGTTGGATATTTAAATAAATTCATTTTAAATTGAGATTCTTGTAAAGTACTTTAACTACATAATCTAAAAAAAAATACATATTGAATTATTTTTTATTTTATTATACTCTATTAGTAATTAAAACTTTTTATTATATGATGAAAAAAGTCAAGTATAAAATATCGAAAGTATCAACTTATCCCTATTGAAAAATCTTCATAGTAAGAAGAATATTATTTTATGATACTCGACGGAAAGTTTTTTTTTGCTGCTATATATGCATAAAAATAGACGTCAACAAAAATGTATATCAACGAGGGAAAGAAGAAAAAAAAATGTTCTTGTAAGCGCGCGTAAACAGCCTATCTCGATGATCAGAAAGAGATGATCGGTATAACAACAAGCTAAAGGAGAAAAACCAGAAGGTATCATCGCTGCTTCTTCTTTTTCTTCGTTTTTTCTTTCTTGTTCTTCGTTCTTTCCGGACATAAAAAAACGAGAAAATTATGCAACGGAAGCATACAGAAGAATATTTGCTGTCTATTTATATATACATATATATATATAACACTCCACAGAACAATGGAACCCAAAAGGAGAAAAGAAAATGTCGACGTTTTGTACATATTTGCCAATGAGCGTGGAGGGAGAAGAGAAAGAAAAGCTTATCTTTCTTCATGCTTCCACTGTACGAACATCTCTCATCTCACCACCTCCTCCACATACATGCACGATATGTTAAGCATCGAAGAACTTGCTTTCTTTCTCTCTCTTCCCCTCTCTCTCTCTCTTTCTATCAACAGCAGTAAAGAGGCGAGAAAGATATTGTTGTCTGCTGATTATTAGAATAGGGTGGTAAGAAAGAGGTAAAGAACAATATCAATTTCTGACTTTTTGCTTGGTGCAACCATGGATGTTAATGAACAACGTGCTGAAAAGAGTCATTATGTCGAATATAGAACTACATAGTGTTGACATCTCAAATTTCTACATATAAATAACATATTTTATCGACACACACACACATAAAGAGACAAATTTTCATCTGATCGAACAAAGAAAAACTTAAATTTGATCTATTAGATCATTACAACAAAAAAGCAGCAGACGATGTCCAACAGTGTTCATATGTTTAAATGACACTCTATCAATCGAGTATAATTGCCTTTGTACAATAATAGTCTGTCGTCTATAATCTTTCCTACCGTCTACCGATCATCATCATTGAACAAAAGAAAAAAATTAAATATATACGATGTATATGTCTAAAAATGAGTTCGGTCATTGAAGCAAATTTGTCTTTTTTGAATATAAATTCGAAATCAATCGGAACAAAGATAAAAAAAAAACATTTTGATTTTGGCTTAATTGAAATAAGTCGGTTTCTTTTTCGTTCTTAATATATGGATATCAACAGCTACATATGATTGACATTGGCAAACGAAGCATTAGTACATATCTAGATACGACATTTGGTATAGCTGATGACGTATATCGCACTACATGTGTACCAACTGATACTCTACAAACAGTGTAAACTCAAGGATTTTCTTTTTTTTTCTCTTCACACTTTTTCTCTCTCTCTCTCTTGGCGATGTCATGTCCTCAATATCGAATAATGTTGGTTATACAATCAATATTCCTTTTTTTTCATTTTACTTTTAATAGTTGCGTCATTAGATATTTTTTTAAAATGAATATTATCATGACGTGATACTTTCAAGACATGGACGCTGTAATTTTTTTGTATGATCGATCTGACGATAAAAACTAGATAATGATGAAAATTGATTAAGTAACTTAGCTTTTATACTTAAGATCGATGATGTTAAAATACTACTAGAATGGAATATATATAACGTGTTGTGATTAATTGATTGTTGACAAAGGTCTTCTATGATTATTTATACTTGAATGTAAGGTTTATATTCGATAACGAAAATTATCTAAATATGTGATATACTTATTTAGCCTATAAAGAAGAAATAAAAATACGTTATAACCTCGAAAGTTCGTCAGATAATATATAGAAGATGTTTGATGTCATCAATTAGTATTACTTATTAAGACTATTTAATAAAATTTCATTTATCATTAAAAGAAAAGACTTGTTAAGTTTTCTTTGAAATGTTCAATAAGCATTAAACATATCTATTCTTGGACATAAAAGTAAAAAACGATTATTCATCTGACAACACCTCAGGAGATTACAAAAGTGCTTTTTCTTGTTTATGTTTGATTCACTTGAAATATTTGTTTTGTTTTCAATTGACATTGAATGAACCATCAAACAATTATATTGAACTTCTAATTTCATCTAGTCAATCATTGTCTATGTAAATTAAACATTACACAATCAGATTTATTATCTAACAAAGAATTGAATCTATCTAATTTCGTAATTTTTAAAATCAAACTTACAATATCCAATATGTTTAGCTTTTATCAATTGTAAAAATTGTACTCGATAGCTTTATATTGAAAAAAAAAGAAAAACTTCTTCGCTTCTACTGTTTTTCTGACTTCATGATGAATTTACTTTAGTTGCAAAAAGCAAGTAAAGCGTACGTAACGAAAGATAATAGAAATCAGATAGTGTAATTAATGTTGATAGAAGTCGATAGAAAAAAATTTAACAACAATGTAATTTTCATTTTTTTCCATCGTGTTAAGCACTCAACTCAATTCCAAAGATTAATATTAATAGTTAATGGAGTTTTTTTATCAAGATTTTTTATAGATAAACTATGATGGCAAGGTGGCTTCTAAAAGAACCGGACACAGTAGTTTTTTTTCCAAACATTTTTAACAAAGTCATAGTAAAGAGTACAAAATGAGGGCTTCCACATTCTCTATTATTGTCTACAAACAGCACTATCTAGGTTTTGCGCTAGGTACTTCACGAGTTGCACTTATTTTTCACTATTTCATGTTTTATTCAATACAAAATATTGTTAGTTAACTAATATTCTACCGTATTTTGATAGGATGCAAAAGAAAAGAAAACAAAATTGGGAACCAATATGTAAATTGATTCGTAGTTTTTATTGATTTTTTGTTATTCATTTATCTCAAATAAATTTTCATAAAAAAAAATTAAAAGAATTTCTTACACAAAAATCTTGATTAATATTATATGATAGTTTTAATATCCATTTGTTCATGATCATTGTTTATTTTGTCTAGAAGAAAAAAAACCAAAGAAATTTTACTTTTTATACATTGTTTTCTTTTTCTTCTTCTGAACTATATTATTTACATATATATTTATGTATAGACGACCAAAAAAAAAGACATAGAAACAAAAAAACAAGAAGACAGAAAATCGCAAGGTGAAAAATGAAGCGCACAAAAAAAAGACAATGAAAAAATGAATCTATCTATTTGTTCTTAATTCATTTGATTTAGTGGTCGTAATTTTTTAATACGTTTCCATTCACCAGTTGATGTGTTCATTTGAAAAAATGTTTCAGCAAAATATTGTTGGAGTTGACCTGTATTTGGATCAGGTATTGTTTCATCTTTTTCAGTTAATTTTATTGTTACAATTGGATTATTTGAATTATTATTATCTGATGAACGATCTAATGAATTAAAAATATTTGAAAAAAAAAAACTTGCATAAATGCAAAATTTTCTACATACCACGAACACCAGCAATAAAAGCTAAAATTCGACTTTTATCTGCTCGTGTTAAGCAAGTACTTGTACGAAAAAGATCACGAGCAAATGAAATTTGTTCATTCTATACAAAATATATATATTTATAGATGTTTATACGAAATTAATTTAATTGGAAAAAAAAACAAATATATTTACTGTTAATTTAAGATCACTTCGTATTGCAGAAGTATTTAGGAGTTTATCTTGTTCATTTGATTTATTATTATCATTAAAATTTGTTGAATAATTTCTGTCTACACGAGATTGATGAAGTCCGTAAAGTAAATCATTAGCTGCATCTATTTTTACAAAAGAAAAGTTACAAATTGAGCTACAAAAAAAATATACTCACTATTCATTAGAGGATTAGGTGTAGCTGGCATTTCATTTAGACTTAATGGTGCATAAGTTGGTTGCTAAAACCTCATTGATTTATAAAACAAAAAAAACAACTAAAAAAATCTTCATTCATACCGAAATAAGAGTAGCTGGTTGATCAAGGTTATTTGGAGTTGGTAATTCATGTGTTTCGGTATTAGTCATAGTTGCTGATGGTACAGTAAGTAAATCGTCCATTGTACTATCCGCTTGATTGACACTTTGTTGTTGTTTAATTGATTTCTTACTACGATTCGCTTTCTTTTCATTACCATCATCGTCATCCTCCACTATAAACAAGATAAACAAAAACACATAATTAGATATAAACAGAAATTAGACAAAAAATCTCAAAGAAAAAAAAAAGTAAGATGGTGATTATGAACAAAATAGAGAAAGAAAATATAAGCAAATAAAATAATCATTTTGTTCGTTTTATTTTTTTGTAAAAAAAGACAAAGCCGTTTCTGGAAATACTTTCTAGAACGTATGTTTTTATATAAGGCTAAATTCGAAACCAAAATATTCAACATTTATTCTATCTCACAATGCAACATACAATACTTTGTTTAGTGCTTCATGATGTCAACTCTGAGACAGAAAAGAAACTCACACCAGAGATTAGAGTTTTCCGAAGACACAGATTCAATTCGTATCAAATAAACACAAATAAATGAATAGTGCAAGAATATATCTATCTCTATTAATTAACGAAAAAACTGATCTCAACAAAAGCTTTCTTCCAAACCTATAGTTTACAAAAGAAATTCTGTGGAGGGCAAAGAGCGTGTGTAAACAGGATGTAATAACTAACAAATCTCGAAAGTTACAGCTAAAACTACTGTGATGCATCTTTTCATCCTAATTCTAATTAGATACACGTTTTTCATATTATTTATTCATCGTATGACTTTACAAGTAAATAAAGATCTTTTCTTTGAAATATACTATTCAGTAATATATTCGAGTCAGAGTTCTCGATTGAATTATTTTGTTAAAGTTCTAAATATTTTTTGCTAGCTTTTTTATAGCTTCGTGCTCATTTCGAACAGAAACCGAATTTTGAAACACCGTTGGTCTTTGTTTGGTAGGAATTGATATAAGAATAAGCAGACAATGTCATTGCAAGATGAATAGATGAGGAACAGCGCGGCGGCAAAGCGTCTGTTATAGGAAGACTCGGAGTACAGTAGATTTCGTTCTTCCTAACTCGGGTTATCATTTCTATCATTCCGGGAATTTTCAGACTTTCTGCCGAAGTTTTAGTCTGCTCCTGCCCTTAAAAAATATCGAGAACTCTGGTCCTAATAGGAAATCAAATTAATCCAACTTAAAAAAGAAACTGTTAGCGTAATTCTTGCGAGATTAGAGTATAAAAAACAATTTATTTTTTGTTGCTAATTGCAATGACTTTGTTTTATTCTATAGTTCTCCAGAAATGCAATAAATAATTCTTTTATTAGAAGCAGACCTTATTGATACACTGTCTTTCATCGTATATCAACGACGTTTGTGATCGATTGTAGGAAGAGATTATGCATATTTTTACCCGTATACTATAACTATCCTTTTAGATTCAGGTTCACAATCAAATTTAATTTTGACAAAATTACTTACATATAGTTTTCTTTCGTTTTTTATCGCTCAAAGCTTGTTCTTCTTCTAATGAAAGAAGCTATTACAAAAAAAATTTTAAATAGTTTCTGTTTTTTTGATAATAATTTTTTTTATTTTACTTTAACATTGCCTTCACGACGATTATGTAAACGTGCTGTACCAATAATTCCAGATGTTGTACTTATTGGATTTGATTTAAGAAAGCCAATATTTGATTGTTTTGATGTTGAACTTGTTGAAGAATAAATAGATGCTAAATAAAAATTAAATTTTCTAATCAAATAAAAATAATTCTAGATATTTATTTACAATATTCATCAACTGATCGTCGAGATCCAGGTATAGTTGCATAATCTGATATTTTCTTTGTTTTAGATGTTTGAGCACCTTAGAATTAAAAAAAAAATTATTTTTAATTAAAAAACAAAATAATTCTTCAAACTTTTCTCTAATAATTCTTGTCTAATTCTTGCAGATTTCGCTTTACGTATAAGACTAAAACATTTTGATGGATTTGGTATATCACCTGTTAACATTTTTAATGCACTTTTTCCTAAATAACATGATTCTAATGGTAAATGTGTTGTATCATTATTCTTTTTAACTAAATAAAAATTAATATTTCAATAGAATATGATAGAATAAATAATAAAACCTGTTTTTCGTAATTCTTGTATTCCATCTGTAAAACCCTCACATTCTTGATCTGTTAAATCAAGATTAAATAGTGCTTTATCTGGAAATGTTTTCATAATTTCGCTTATAACAGCGACCCATTGATCACCAACATTATCTTTTCGACTTAATTCAATAATATCTTTTAGTAAAGTTTCCCACTGGAAAAAAAAACAAAACGAAAAGGTTTTTACTATTATTTGTAAGAAAAAAAAAACAAAAAATTTCTTTTTTTCTTACCTCATTTATATTTCGTTTAGGTATATGAATAAATGATAGTAATAATTTAACTTTAACAAGTGTATCTAAACTCCATAGAATGGATTTTATTGATAATAAATGTTCTTGTGTTAATGTTGAACTTATACTAAATGATGACCATAAATCAACATGTGAACCAAGTTTATTATGAAGCCAAAAAGCAACGTCTTCGTCTTTTGAGCTAGTATTACTTGTTACAATTGATGAAGAACTCATTGAAAAAGTATTTATCTAGTAAGAAAAAAAAATAGACTATCAAGAATAGTGCGCATGAGACATTATCCTTCATTTCTTGTACGAACTATCAATCATTTAAGTAAGTAATGAGTTGTGGAAAAAATTAACCAATAAAATAATTTGATTGGAATTTGATTAGAACTAATGACATCTTTATGAATTTTTATTAAATATACGAAAAGAAAAGTACTAATTTTCCATTTATTTTTATTTTCATATATTTTAAATATGCTTTGAAAGTATTCTTTTGTAGTTACCATAGAAACTAATTTCAATCTTATTAAAAAAAAAAATGTTCTTTTCAAAATGATGTCTTTGGTCGCTAAAATTTAACATTTTTTTTAAATCTTCTATTTTGAATGATAGTTCTTGAAATTTCGAATTCATTCTCAAAAACATTTATTTCGTGTCGTTATTGTTTCAATATACAAATACTTTCACAGTGATTATTCAACAGATTCATATAAGATGGATATGTTTCGTCTTCAATCTTCAACTGATTCACCATCAAATGATGTCATGGATAAAGCTAAACGTGTATGGAATATGTTAGATGAATTAGCAACGAGTGATCCAACAGCTTACAAGTAAGTTTTGTCGGTAAGTGGGAGACTTTTTTTTACCCTTACTCGAATTTCTTCGTGTCTTTTTGTAAATTCAATTTGTTTTTTAATAGAGGTTTCATTGAAAAAACTCTTAAAGAAGGAAAAGAATGGATGGCACCACCGACACCATGTTTAGCAGTTCGATCTATATTACATGTAAGTTTATTATTTGTTATAAAACTCAAACATACTTTTTTTGTTTTCAAGAGTAATCCAACTATTAAAGTTTTTTATTTAAATATATTTACTTGGCTTCGTTTACCAGCTCCAATGAAAACTGATGAATTAACAAAAATGTATTCACTTCCACCAACAGAAATAACTCACAATAATGGTAAATTCTCGATGATATGATTCAAAAAATTTTGATAACTTTGTTTTTTTTCTGTTTTTATTCATATAAAGAATCTTGTATACTTGTCAATATTGCTGTACATCCAAATGTTATGAAAATCATTGAACGTACTCAATTGATTCGATCAACATTCGATTTAGTAGTTTCTCAACATAATCTATTAGTTGATTATAATCATTATAAAATTCTTGATGAAAAAGCAATTGGTAAGATTGAAGAAATTCAACAAAATTTTGTTAGACCAATTTTAAAAAATAAGAACAATGACGAAAATATTGAAGAATTAATTGATAATGATCTTAGTCCATCATTAATTAAACAACTTTCATCAATGACTACGACTGATCCATCATCATCATCTAAAAAACAACATCAAAAGAAGAAAAATACAAAAGCACCAGTATTAATTGAAGAATTATGGACTATTCCAACATATACAGAAGAAATTACTAGTAATAATAACTTTTTAATCATTCGTGTTTCATTACCAGAATGTGAAAGTGTAGCTGATTGTGATGTTACAGTATTACCTGGGGAAGATACAGTACAAGTTGAATGTTCTAAAGTTCATATGCGTCTTAAACTTGATATGAAAAAACGAAAGAAACCTAATATACCAAACTGTAATAGTGTATTTGATATTCAACGTCTAACTGCTAAATTTGTGCGTAAAACACAACATCTTATACTTACTATTCCAATTATTATTGAACCAAGCACGAACGAACAAAATAAATAAGCAATTGATAATCAACATAATAAGATCAGTGTCATACATATATACAATATTCATTGTAGTGAACCGATTTGTTTTGTATAATTGAAAACAGATTTAAAAAAATCATGTATGTTTTCTTGGAAAATAAATATTCTAAAAGAAATAAAGCGGACGTATGTGGTTCTAAATCGACCCATTGAACTGTTTTCATCAACACCCTGACTGTCTTATGTCATATGAAAGATTAACGTCGAGACAAGTATCTTTGGTAACGGGATCAACAGTTTTTTTCACGGAGAAATAAGAAGTTTTGAACAAGATCAATATTCAATGTTTTTGAGCTTAAATTGCTTCCATAGCCAAACTAAGAAAGAACCCTTTTTTTACATGAATAGTCACCTAACACTTATAAATATCCATTTTTTAGCTGTAGTTGTTTCGACTTTATACTCGACATGTGACGCTAAAAAATTTCGAAGAACGATCGTTAGATTTTCGGCTATGTGTGCAGTAGAGTTCTTCACATTAGCTACAAAATCTACTTATTACAATTAAAAAGCAGTTCAGAAGAAGACATCTACAAATAGTACGCATTGTCGTCATAGTATCGATTTAAACAATTTGAAAATGATACATCAACCATTCTTTCCGTATTTTGTCTCTAAACCTAGCTCAACAATATCTGATTGTAGAATACACATTTTTTCAAAACAAGAAAATAAGAATAAAATGTAAACTATGCTATCTTTTGTGCTAAACAAGGTGTATATGAAACTATATAATATAGGTTAAGTTTATCGTTCTTTTTCTAGATCGATGATTCTGACAACTGAATATTATAAAAACCCGAAAGAAGTGCCCTTTTTTTCGAGCTTATTTCAGCCAGTGTTCAGTTCATTTCTGCTGAAAAATACCTGTACCCCATCTGAACTCAAACATTTCCGTCATCGAAATAACATGGAATGATGTCGTATCTGAATCGATACAATAGAAATCAATCAGAAATAACTCAGGAATCAGTCATATCCATGCCAAAACTACAATGGAATTGGATTATAGTTCCGCGAGAACTAAGCTAGACTCAGACTGTAAATCAAACCGAACTGTAAATATGGTGCTCTATTGATAATCATGCAACAAACTTTCACAATAAGTTAGTTTAGCAATGAAAAGTTGCAAATTCCGAGTCTTCATATACAGAGAACTGGTTTTTGCAAAGAAGTTGATATTTCGTTGCTCAATGTGCTGCAACTTTATATTTTACTCATGAGGCGCGAATTCAAGCATTTCAACTAAGTAGTTTTGAACCCGTGCTCTCTGCCCATCAATACAGTATCATTCACAGAGTTTTATTTGACTTTTTATTATTCTTTTAGACGATTCTTGAAATTTTTTCATGAAATACATTAGACATGAGAGTTGGATCTAGCCATGCAAAGTCTACACTTGTACACCAACGACCGTTGAGAGAAACTGTTGAAAACTTATTAGCATTTGGGACATTTTCGAAGACTTCGTAGCGCTTGCGAAAAGTTTTTAATAAGTAAGCTCTTTCTTCATAGAAAAAAACTGTACAGTTTTCGAAATGATTTTCGGTTCATTGATAAAGATATCGAAAAAACCTTCTGTTCTATCTTTTTTCTTTTCTTCTCATTAAGCCCCTCTCCCCCTTCAAAAAAAAGTTCATTTTCGTAAGAAATTCCGAAATTGAGATAAATGCATGAGAGGATAGCCGGCCTTCAGATCTTTCATAAATGACAAAAACTTTTACTCGGCATCTCTTTTTTTCCAAAAATCTTCGAAAACTGTCGTCACCCTCTATTCGAAAAATAAGCTGTTTTTACAAAAAGTCGAAAATGTTTTTCGTTTTTTCTCAGTTTATGCTTTCTCAAATGCGCGAACAAGAATTCTCCTCTCAGACTCGTATAACATATTTATATTTTTTTTTTTGTTAGAAAGAGCATGTCGAGATGCAGTGCACCAAAGAGTTCTTTTTTGAAATAAGCTTTTTTATTATCATATACGAGAATGCCTGTATAGACATGGGGTCATTTTTTAGGTTTTTTTTGAGTCATTGATTTTGTCATCCCTTTTTTTCGCTTAAAAAGTAAGTTTTAAGAAAAAGAACTCTTTGGTGCACTGCATCTTGACATGTTCTTTCAAACAAAAAATAAATAAATAAATATGTTATACGAGCCTTGACAGAGAAATCGTGTTTGCCAAATTTGCTATTTTTTTACCCTTGTTTGGTTCATATCTCTGTCAAACGTCATGATATGGAGCTGAACATTTTACCATAGCCTCCCCACTACAGTCCCCACATACCCTAAAAATTTCAGCCAATTCGGACGTTTATGGGGCGAGATCGATTTTTGAGGTGTGGGGGGCTTAAACTTCTGACAGAGTTGTTCGTGTCCTTTTTGTAGTGTCACTATCATGTACCTTTCTTTACGCTCATCATGTGTATTACTAACTATTTTACCCGATCTCTTTGTGCCTCTTCATGATACAATACGCACTAGTTGTGTTTATCTCTTTTTTATTCAATATTTTCTTTATAGAATGCCACTACTTACCATTTGCCTCTATTGCTACATACAGTTGCTATTGTGTGCGAGTGTAATTGTGGATGTGGATGGATCTTCCATTTATCGACACCCACATCCTTCTATTTGTCACCGTATATGTCATTACGTATCAAAATTTCGATTTACTAGCACATAATATTGATTTTTTTTAATTATCCAAAAATGTAAGTGTCTTTGACACAAAATTACAGAGAGAACTACTTATACAAACTTCTACTTGAAAGAATCTATGTTTATGAATATCGCAAGATAATATTAACTGTTAAGAATATGAGCCAAAAAGTCATATGAAAATGTTATATGAACATTTGTTTTTGTGTTCGTTACCATTTCCATACAAACTGCCAATTGACAAAAAATTACAAAGTTTCACTATATTAAGAATATTTGCGATTCATTCATTATGCTGTATTTAGTGTATATTATTAGAAGATTTTTTTTTCTTGTCATTTATTCTTATTGAAACAATTCTATTCTGTACATTATGTAATTGTGATAATTTTAGTATTTATCATCATGTATCTACTGCAGACTGAGTTCTACAAAGAAATGAATATAAATTCCATGTTTTGTAATAATGAAATCATGATTTCTCACGAACAACTGACACAAAGTATGATTACATCTACTTATTTCCTTTTGAATCTGTTCTAAATTTTATGATTAGTAAACTTGATACTTCGGTGAGTGAAATACTTAACAACATAAAATGATGTGAGACTATCTAGTCTTAATAGAGCACGTGTATGATTGCCAGATGTTCTGATACTATAATTTCAAGTAACACCGATCAAACAATAAAATTATTGAAATAACTCTTGCAACAACCATATTGTGTGAACACAACCAAAATTTGTTGATTTACAAGTTTGAGTTCAATCCTCTATTATTTTTGTCTATTTTACCTTTCCTAAGTCAAAATCAATGGCTGAAGGTGAGAAATCAAGAATACTAGTTGACTTCTAATGCTTGGAATAAACTGTATCATATAGTATCAAGGAAGACGTTTGTTAATTCTGTTCATTAGATAACTGATTGTTATTGCATAATTGTTTGAAGTAGTATAAAAGAGAAAATTATTTAGTAACGATCATAAAATATTCTTTCTAATATAGTTCATAATCAATATTCAAGAATTGATTTCCAAGAAGTAACTATTTAATCCACATTCATTAACAATTTGCATTTAGGCACCATTAATTTTCTGATTCTCTAGTATGAATAATCAACTTTGGAATAAAATCTTTTGTAACATATAAGAAAATCTATTGAATCTGAGAATTCAAACAATATGTCTAGTAATAACGAAAGTATTGAATAGTCATAATTTATATTCTTCAATGGTTTTATTTAGAACATTTAATAGCAGAATATATCCTACGACTACTATGTGATACATGAATAAAAAAAAACAAATATGGAAAAAAAACATATCACCGTGAAACACTTACAATTCTCCCCCGAATGTTTCACTAAGAGTACTAAGTATACAATCAAGAATATCAAATTTTGTTACTGCTGAATGTAATGTTTCTAATTGTTCTCGTTTACTAGGCATTGATAAAGGTTTACTATCTACTAAAATTTCCGTATCCATTTTTTGTGGCTTGTTATCTTCTTTTCTATTTTTTATTTCAAGTTTATAATGTGCACGAGCTAATTCAATTGATTTTCTTAAAGGTTTTATAAATGTTTCATTTAAATGATTTAAACGTTCTGTCCATAATAATGTTCGATTTATATTTTGTTTATCAATTAGACCAATAAAACGAATAAAATTCAATGTTGAACAAAGACAATCGTAAATTTCAAGTAAATCTGATTCTATACCATTTGGTAAACGACATAAATGATCTAGCAGTTGAAATAATGATAATCCTTTATAAATCTCATTTGACAACGATCGATAATCATATAAAAATTCATCTTTAACTAACGTACAAAGAAATGTTCGATATGAATCTTCTGCACAAGGTGTTTTAGCTAATTGTTGTCGAAGAAAAGTATAACGACCTAATGGATTAAATGATCGAAATAATGAACGATATGCACCTATTGTTAATGGTGCGTATTGTCGAGCAGGTGATTGAACCATTAAAATTTTTAATGTATCAATAAGTGTATGAATATCATTATTATCTAATAATGTTGAATCAAATTCTTTATTTGGTTTCAAACGTGAACAAACATTTGATACAAGTACACATGCTTTTTCTGTTAACATAACTCGTTCACGATCATTACTTAATTGTTGAATAAATGGAATACTAAGAATAAGATAAAAATAAGGTGAATAAACACATGGTAATAATGAAAAGTAATGATTTTTTGTTAATAGTAAATAAACAAAAACAGATTGTTGTTCTTTATCATTAATTAATTGAATTGGATTTGGATTAAGTGTAAATAAACAATCTAATAATGGACGAATTGATGTAAATGATGAACTTTCTTGTGAATCAATGGGTTCATAACTAAGTGATGAAAGTGGTTCTTGTAAAAGAGATATTAAATATTTTGCTAGAATAGGAAAAATTTTATTCATAGTTGTTGTTGAAAAATAATCACGAAGTTGACAAATAAAATCAACATAGAATTGAGTCAGTTTAAGTAAATGAGTAACACGATGATCATGATTATATACCAATAAATCTTTACCTAGAAAGAACAAAAAGAAATATTCATTATGTTGTTTATTTAGGATCAAAAAAAAAACGGAATTAAACCTGCGAAATCATTATTAATTGTTGGTAATTCAAGTGTAGTTAGATGACATTTTAATAATGAAAGAATATCATCGATTGATGTTATTAAACTAGGTTTTAATGGTAAACGTTTAATAATTATTAAAAATAATTGTATATGAAATACAAAAGCTTCATCTGATATAAATTTATCAGATTGTTCAAGCATAATGATTAACATTTCACGAGGATTACCATGTTCGGCTACATGTTTTAAAGCATCTTGAGAATATATTTCATATTCATTGCATAATTTATCTGATGGTTTTTCTAATAAATGAAATAGATAAGTACATAAATCCCATGTATTATCATAGATTTGTTGTTCAGTTAAAGACATTAGATAACTAAGAGCTTCACTAAAGTGCTGACCATCAATTAAGGTAGAGATTTCTTGAACATCCAATGTATTTGTTGGAACTGATGTCGATGATTTTGCATTAGAATCGTTCGTTGACATTTTTATTATCAAGTAATTTTCCGATTAAATTTTTTTAAAAATCTTCTTGACTAATAAATAAATTTCCAGTTAAGACAATCTGGAAGAATATATTGTTTAACAGATAGACAAAAAGACATTTGAAACACATAAGCCTTTTTTTTATTGTCTATCAATTGATTTATTTAATTATTTCTTTTTTTTTTTATATAGACAAAAAAAATTCCAAGCCAATGTTTTACAAGAAAAAAAAATTATTCAACAAATGAGAGAACATGTGCGATAATAGATATACATCATTACATGTTTTTAATTGTGTATGGAATGTGCTGAACAATAAAAGAAAAGACATAATGAAAAGAAAAAAGAAAAAAAAAAAAAAGAGAAAATCTAATGTTCATCATGAACAATAACAATAGAGAAAAAAAATATGAAGAGCAAAGAACCGGTCTGAATTTAAGATCAGAAATTATACATGAATAATGTTTGATCGATAGGGCGATACACACTACTTGTTTGCGAAATAAAAAAGAAAAAGATTTCAACCAAAAAAATATATGTATGTGTATTTAGAAGTAGTAATAGGTCAATAAACAGAAATAAACATCCATATGTAAACATGGAAAAAATCACAGCAAGGATGAAGAAAATTTTTTTTTGCTGCTCTAATTGGAAGAAAGTTATTTTTTTTTTCTTTGAGAGAAAAAAAAATTTCTGTACACAAAATGAAATAAAGAACAGCAAGTCGGAATTCATATGTATAACTGTAAAATGATTTACTAAGGAGGATGAAAACGTGTATATTTTGCACTGTCTGGATGAATTTCCATTTCTGAACTTTTATATTCATTAAGTTCTTTTCGAATCATTTGTTTATCTCGTGGTGTTAAACGTGTCCATGGTTTATCAGCACGTCGATCAACATCGTCACATTCAGATACTTCAATATAGTCACAGAAACGAATAATTTTTCGATCACGAAGTTCTAAAATAGAAGAAAGTAAACATATAGAATGATGATAATTCAAGAATGCTAGCTATATCTTTCTTTAGATTTTATTATTAAACATTATGATGTTGTCTATAATTGAATTAAAAATAAATGAAAATGATCATGAAATTATATTTTTTTCAATCCATGTATGAACTATTCGTCAATATTAAAAAATTCAATTTCATGTAATTCATATTAAAATCTTCAGTTGTCACATAGGAAGGCTTATTTTCATTGTGTTATTATCAAAGAAAATGTTTCGTATTTTAATATTAGTATAAAATGATAAATAATCAAGCAAGAGTATAAGAATCTTGTAGGAAGATAACTTTATCGTAACAATATTTAACGAAAAAAACCTGTGAATGCAATTCCTTAAGGATTGAAATATGCAATACGATCTAGTTGTTGTTGTTCATGACAGAAAAATTATTTTATTCTATCTATTTTCGGACACATTTCTTCGTCATTCTTTTACTGATTGCTTCAGAAATGCAATAAAGAAGTACTTCATATATTATAACGAGACGTAATTGATATATATAGTCTGTCCTTGTATGTCAACGTCTGTCATGGTATATGTTGTCAGGGACAGAGAATGTTGCTAAAGTGCCTGTTACGATCTATCATAGTCTCTGACAAGCATCTGTCACGATGTATGGGTGAGAGGGAGGGGGTCACATTTTCACCCCTATCCTTCAACATTCCATTTAGATCGTGTTTCACGATAGTTCTCTCGAAAATTGAAAATCAATATTATATTTACCTTGAATGCTTGGTCTAAAACTAAGTTTTCTTATTAAATATCGCTTCTTTTCTTCTTTTTCTGCTGTTAATTCAGCTTGTGTTTTTGCACGTAAAATATTTCTTGCTTCAAGTTCTTCTTGACTTGGTCTTAATGATAATTTTCGTTCTAATTTAGTTTCAATTGTTTCACGTTCATTTTTACGTTCATCTAATGATTTAACAAGAATATGTTTATCAAATAATTCATTTGGCAATGGACGATCTTTAAGAAAACGTGCTAATGAATCATTACGTTTAACATTAGCAAAACGTTTTTTTGTATCAGTAGTATCACCATCATCATCAGATGAAGAATTTTCATTATGTTCATTGTCAGAATTATGTTCATCATTGACTGTTGTTGCTGTTGTTGTTGATGGTGGTCCAGTTATAAGAACAGTTGGTTTAATTTTTGGACTAGGACGTGGTGATGGACGTTGATTTTCTCTAAATACTGGTATAACACGACGTTTAACACCATGTGATTTTTTTAATGCACTTTTTTCTGGCTGTCGTGTAAAATCTGGTTCTTTAGCAGGAATTTCTTCATACTTAGTTGTATCAATATCTTGAACAGTTATTTGTTTATTTGTTTGAATAACTGTTGTTGTTGGTGTTGATGAAGAATTTGTTGATGGTGATGATGAATTTGTTACAGTTGTAGAAATCATATTCGAAGTAGTTAAAGTTACTGGTATTGGTGATGGAGATGAATTTGTTGTATTTACAGGTGAAGAACGTATTTGAAATTTTTCTTGTAATGCTAATATACTATTTGCAGCTATCGGACGTGTCGTTGGAGTTGGAGTAACATTAGCATAAATAACTGTATTATTATCATGAATAGGCTTAAATTGATTTGTTGTAAATTTATCAGATGAAACTGAACGACGTTGTTCAATTGTAGTTGTCGAAGTTGAAAAAGAAGATGAAGAAGGAATTGTAGTAAATGTTACACTAGTTGTCGTTGGTGGTGGAGGCAGTGGCGGTGGTGGTGGTTGTGGTGGTGTTGGATTGAGAGTAGAATACGATAAGTTGTTATTAGTGTTATTATTATTATTTAAATAATTTGTACGAATTGGTGTTAAACGACTAGCATCAGGTTTAGGAGCAACTGAAAGAAAGAAAAAATAATTATATGAGAAGATTTTTAAAAATAAATCTAGTATACCTGGAGGTGGAATTTTAAGTGGATTTGATGGGACTTTTGTTAAAGAATTTGTTGCAGTATTTGTTTCTACTGTTTTTGTTGTTGCTGTTGTTGTTATTGTTGATATATTGGATGGCGGAGGAGATGATGCAACAGATGATAGTGGTGGTGGAGGTGGTAATAATGGAGGAGATCGTGGTGTAGAAATTTTATTATTTTCAGTAAATTGTACAGGTAATACTCGAGTAGCAGGTATTGGTGTTAGTCGAGTTATCGATTCTGTATTAATAGGAGTAGTAATTGTTGTAATAGTTGTTGCTGTAGACGTTGAAGAATTAGTCCATGATGGTTGAATATAAGTTCGATTAGCTGTTGGTGGTCGATCGAAATCAATTGTAACACTATCAACACTATTTGCTCTTGCTGTTGAAACAGTAACTGGTTCTGTAACAATAATTTTTTGTGGTGGTGTGTTATTTGATATTGAATCAACTGATATAGAACGTACAGCTGTTGGTGGAGGAACTTGTGAAACATCATCATTATTTGTCACATAATGTTCAATTGATGAAGAAGGTTGAGATGGTGGAAATGTTGAAGTATTTGCATAGACAGTATTTGTTGACGGAATTAGTTGGGGTGGTGGTGGCGTTGACATTGATGGTGGTTTTTTTCGTGTACGCAATGACGAAATACCTTGTCGAATAATTTTATGTATAGAAAATTTTCCATTAGGATTATTCATACGCTTTGTTGATTCACTTATATTTGAATTCATTTCAGTATCTAATGATGATGATGCTGTTAAATAATTTGTATCATTATCTGTTGGAAGATAATCTTTAGTTGTTGTTATATTTTGATAATGACTTTTTGGCATTGTTAAAGATTTATAAGTTTGTTGTTGATTATATTTTGTTGATGCATAATCGATTGAATCACGATTGATATTTGATGATAAATTAGGATTATTATTATTATTATTATTTGTATTCGGCGAATTTAGATGTCCAACATTACGATATGTTGCCATAGGTGAACTCACTGATGATATCACATCCTTTCAAATAAATAATTAAAAAAAAAAGAAATTGAATATATTTATTTAATGTTCAATGTTTCTTTTTTCAACGTTCTTATCAGTCAGTATGAAAGAGCAAGTACTCTCATAAAAGGAAAAAAAGAATGAAAGCGTGAATCACTGAAGTGAACCATGTCTACCAAGGTTGAGAAGGCCACTTGTGAATCCAATCATATGCATACGTATATATATATATATATTGTATAAAAAAAGTACCAAATGCCAATAGAGCTCTCTCTCTCTCTTGACTATTGGAGTATATTTATAAATCAATTAAAAACATACCTCATTATTTTTCTCCTCTTTCTCATCTTCATTTGTTTTCTTCTCATCAATAGTGTTCATAGAAGATGGATGGATTTCAGATGTTTCGTCTACTCGCCACCATCGTCGAGAATTAGTTAAACCCATTTCTTTGTCCTCGTTTACATATAGTATTGCAAAGAAATATTGAATCACTTTCTCGTTTTTTCCCCTCGATTTGGTTTGTCTTTAATGTAAATGATAATTTTCGCTTGGTTTCTTTTCACATTCTCTCCTCCTTCTTTTTTTTCTTTGTTTCAATGTAGTACAAAACTTTCTTCTCGTTATATTTTTTCTTCGTTTAATGTCTGGCCGAGCGAGTGAAAACGAACGGACGTGAGTACGCGTAATCATAAAATGAAGGTCATCCAACCTACACACACACACTCTTCGCTCTTCTTTTTGTATCTATGTACGTCAATACAAAAATAAAATGACATTTTGACCCTAATTTTTTTTCATCTATTGTTCACTTATCAATATAGATTTTCGTTACACACAAAACACGACTCTTTTCAATAATGATCATGATTATATTTGGCATCCTATCCGAAAACGAGAATGAGAAAAAAAAGAAATCCATAAGTTCATTGAAATGAATAAATTATGTATAAGCAAGAGCTTATCGATTTGATGCGGAGAAAAAGACAAGTAAGAGATAGAAGATAAGAAATGATTCCTAAATCCCAAAACAATCAGTTATAGAAAAGAATACTAACAACAACGAAAAACAAGAGAGACGATGTTGTAATCTCACTATATACTTCTCTTTTTTTTTTGTTATATACTCCTAAAACGGCAAACGATTACTAGCATTAGTATGTGGTCTATAGGAAAAAAAAAGGTTGTCAAGTATCATACAAGGATCTACAATGTAAAAACATATTATGTACACAAGAGAAAAAACAACCATTAAGGAATAACAGTTGTTTTTTTCCTGTCTGTCCATCATATCCATTGAAAATAAAAAGAGATACCCTTGAATAAGTTCTATTCAGTTGAAAACGGTTTTTTTTGTGAAAGTAAAATATGTATATGTATATATATGCACACATATATGTAAATGGATTAGAATAATTTGATAAGAAAAAAGAAGAACAGAATGATTTGTTTCGTATACAAAGATCAGATTACATATATTCTCAATTCGATTAACATATATGGTGTAAAAAAAATTGAAGAAAAAAAACTTTATCAAACTTATCATTCACTAAAGTGCGTTTTTGCATAAACTAAACAACAGGAAGTAAATAATGGAAAGTAACTATTTGTATTAGTCTGACAAATATTTCTTGAATTTCGCTCTCTTTTTATTTCTGTTCCTCAAACTTACACCTGTATCTTCGAATATGTAATTGAAAACTTCGGAACTATTATCTTCATCATCATGTCCATTTTCATCTTCATCACCATAAATATCATCACTAAGACGATTTATGTCATCATATTTTGTTGTAAAATAATCATCACTAACACTACGAGATACTTGTCGTTGTTGAGAATAATGAGACTGATTTCTTATATCAATGTGTCTGTTTTGATGTGGATGTAACGGAGAAGGAGAAGCCATAAAAGTGGGTGGGAATTGACGATAAACTCCATGCACACTGGACGAATATGGGAAATTTTCATTATTATTATTATTATTATTATTTGATCGACTAGATACTGTTGGATAATGAAGATATGATAACGGATCTGTTCGACCTGTTGTTGGTGTTGAATGTGAATTATATCGAAAATCCATTTGTTGATGATGATTAGTTCGAAGAGTATTTTCATATGAACGTCTAGGTTGTGTTGGTGGAGGTGATGAAAGTTGTTTTGAAGACATAGTTCGTTTCTCATGCCAATAAATATCGTTCATGATGCGATGTTTTTTAAATTCAAATTTATTTTCTTTTTACTGTGCTCACTTTTGTAAAACGAAATGAAAAAGTAATGCAATGAAACACTTGTTATTACTCATAGAGTATAGAGAGAAGCGAAGAAAAAAAAAACGACATCACCGACGACAGGTGACAAGTATTCGACGAACGACGACATTACAAATGAGTTTTTTTTTCTATTGCCACTACTACCGCCCCTCTTTTCTCTTTCACTTACAGGTATAAAATGCATTTGAGGCCACATAGAGAGAAAAAGAGCGAAGGCTAAAACTAAAATCATACAACATAAAGACATATACATTAGATGATGTGAAGAGTAGAGAAAAGAAAATCAAATGCATTCTTAAAGACGAGTTGCGCAAATAAAATCAGTTAGAATGGAAAGCAATCAATGTGTATGTATGTGTGCACACATCAATTTACTTTAAAAAACAAAAGAAAAATTTTGTTCTTTTCATTTTCCAGACTTACCAATATATCTAAAACAATTTAAAAAGAAAATATGATTCTTTTGATTTCTTTTATAAACAAACACTTACCTGAAATGGTCAACGCTCAATAATAATATATAGGCAAAGAAAAGATAACAGAACAATTAATAATAAACAATTCTTTTATAGTATATGACTCATTCAAATATTCTTTTCTATTGGTTAACACATCTAACTAATCAAATAAATGTTATTTAAAATAGAACAAAAGAAAATTCTGAAATAATTTTTCAAACTATCTATTTAAATATATAATAAATCAATGAAATAAAAATTTATAATTATGACAAGTTAATTTTCATAATCGAAAAGTTAAATACTTTGGTTTCCATGACATCTAAATAATTGACATGTTTGCTTTTACGAGTATATAATCGATCATAATTGAGTGTTGAAAATCAATATTCATTGTATTCAATGGCAGCTACATATCAAAATCCTCTGCGTTCAATCAGACATCCAACAACTCAAAAGTCTCGAGTAAAAAAACCTATCTCACAACAGCATCCTTCTACAATAAAGAACAATCCTAATAGCATTAAAATACGGTATTATTTTTCTTTCATTAACATACACAAATAATAGAAGCCGAAAAATAAATCAATATAAAAAAATAATCAAACTTTAGATTTGGAAATAATTCATCACAAAATTCAATGTATAAACCAACATCAATATTAAAGAAAAAAACGCTGCAACAACAACCATCATATATTGATCGTTTCAATGAAAATACTCTTAATTGGCATCAACCCACTGATCTTGAATTATTTCAATCGAGACCATTTTATAGTCCAATTCTCACACCACCAAGGTTACGAACGTATGTATTTACTTGATGTTTAAGTAATTATACCACGAAAAAAAGAACACAATTTTCTAATAATTAATTTTAAACATATGAATATCAAAATATCTCTATACGTTTAATGCGATAACTCGCCTAATACTACAACAAGTAATTTCCTCTTTGAATTATGTTTTAAAAAAGAATTTTTGTCTATAACATGGATTCGCGTGACTTTCTTTAAGCTTTCCGAAAAAAAAACAAGAAGATTATATTGATATAATGTGACAGAATAGACGAATAAAGTTATAGTGTTCGATAGACGATTTCCGGTCCGATGAAATGATTATCCCTGGAAAATTATTGTCTAAGTAAGTATCACAAATGATCTTACAGGGCAGGGTTATTCAACTCTGCATTCATGGAGTAAAGGTAAAAATAAATCATGTGCTCTTTTCTAGAAGAAAACAAGACAATAGGGGGTCTTTAAACACTTTATAAACAACTTTCTTTCTCTAATCATTCTACTATTCCCATTGTTTTCTTTTATTTTCATTGTATGTTTTGTTTGTGCGTGAATAAGAAAAATATTCTATGTAAAAATCAAATAACATGATTGAAAAGTGTAAAATCTATATCCACAAAAAGAAACCGAGAAGGACAAATTTGAAGTTCAATTCTTGAAGAAATACTTATTTCTTAATCAGAATTATAAGCATTTATTTGAATAGTATCTTCAAGTAATGACATTACATATTTACCAATCTTTACAGTAAAATATACTTTTTATCAGTGATTCTGTTTCGTATAAAATATCGACAAATAATTGCACTCTAATACACCCACATAATGGTTGTTTGAATCATCGCAAAACAGTCCAAGTATATCTAAACAACATATTCTAGGTTAATAACACCACCTGGTATTGAACCTTATCGAAATAATTACAATTTACGTCGACTTAACAGTCCATTGCCAGCACTTGATGATTTATAGTAAGTATCGATATTGCAAGTTTGTTTGTATCACCATCGGTATACTGCAGTAGAATGGCGGTCAGAAGATAGTCGATCGTTTAAGTATCAAACTACTGTCAATCGATTGTCAATATACCGAATGATCTTTTTGTCACTACTCTTGAATATCGCCTTTATAGCGCACATTAGACTGAACGATCTATCGTTGGTTTTTGTTCGCAGTTTGAATCATATGTGTAGAAAAACTCAATTTTAATAATCACATTTCTCCATCCATATCATAGTGTTCCTCCAGTTGGTCTTGACAGTTGGGGACTTAATCCAACTGATTATCGTTTAACTTCAAATCCTAATTTAATTCGACGATATCCATCACCTTTATCTCATTATGGTTTAGGTAGTGGACTTCAACGACAAAAGAAGGTATACTATTAAAAAAAAAACATTTTTCAATAAATAACAACTTTAAATATTATTAGTCATATATTGTGGTACCTCATCTAAGTAATCTCTTATCTCCGCCTGTGAGTAGTATTCGTGGTGGTAATTCCACATTGCCATTACGTCGCATAGCACCAGTCTATGATCCAATTTCACACTATGTATACCCTGAACGGTTGCATTATTTTCCTTCACAACTATATCACAGTGTGAGTGTTCTCATTAACAATGTTTCTTTTTGCATCTTACTAATCGATATAACGACATAACATACGGTTTCATTTATTTCTTTTTCTCTTCTATCTATTGTGAAAACTGAGAAAAAAAAGTATTATGTTTAGGAGATGTCTGACTATGCATCTTTACCACGAAATGAAGCATTGGCTAATCATTATATAGATGAGTTTATTGGCAGATGTATTGAAGATGAATTTATACCAGATATTTTACTTGAAGTCTTTAGTGAACTTGATCAAGAAGTAAATATAGTATGAAAAGAAAAATAACATGAAAGGTTTTTTGTTTATATTTTTGTTTACAGAAAAAACAAGATGATATATCTTATAGATCACAAATTGAACAATATTATTTAGATCTAAATAGACGTATGAATCAAGAACAAACATATGATCAGTATGTTTCTTGAATTTTTTTTATTATTAATCAAGAAAACAAAATGTATCTTTAGTTTATTGTCTGACGATTGGATACGTGACCTTGATTATCAACATTCACATATTCCTACATCTAATATCGATTCAAATTCGTCTTTATTGAGACCATTACATCTTCAAGAGGTTCCATCTCTACAAACAACTAATCAAGTAAGATATCATGATTTACCACCTGATGTACAAGGGCGTTTATTAGCAACTGTTAGTCAAGAATTAGTTGATTTTGAAATAGAAAGTATGTTACGAGAATTAAGTAGTCAAACTTTAAATGATCGAGTAAATTTTATTCAAATATAGTTTTTTTTCTCAACTATTATTTCATATAGCCTCGTAGGGTTCCAATTATGGATGATACTACTTATAATATTTATAATACAAGCAGACAACAAGTTGATCCAGTTCAATATAATGCAATTGAAAACCATGTACAAAATAAATTATTAGATACAATATGTTTAAATCAATTAATTATAAAATATTTAAAACAAAATGGTTCAATTGCTGATGTTGATGATCTTTCACGTTTATTAGATGGTAACGAATTATTTATTTAATTACAAAAGAAATAAAATTTTTTTTATTTTGCTTTGCTTTTCTTTTTTTTTTACTTTAGCAACTATTCTTCATAATTTAATTAATCAATATCAAGAGATAGATGAAAATCGTTCAAGAACATTAGATAATTATGCATCAAGAAAATTTCATATCAATTCATTTATGAATGTTGTAAGTGAATAATGATATATTGTTTTTTTCTTTCGTTGAAAATTTTGTTCGATTTTAATAATCGAACATAATTTTTCTAGACAATGGATTTCTTACTAAATGAGCTCAGCAGCAGTCTTATTGAGGACATGAAAAATTTGGATGAACAGAAATGAAGAACATTTTAATAATAATTTTTATCTTTCATTATACATATTTATAAATAATTGAATAGTAGCAATATATTATTTATTTGCTTGTATACATAGAATATATCTTCCATTGTATATTTATATCTTATTTTGTGTAGCTACCGTCTTAAAAAAAGTTATATATATATATCTCATTCATATGAAATGAGATCAGATAAGTATTTTATTTCTTCCTGCATTGTCACTTATATTCACAACGAAATGATTTTATGCTATTATTTTTATTTTGTGCTTTTGGGTGGATGTGAATATTGCTGCTGGTCAGCAAAATGCTATTTTAAACTAATAAATAAAAGGATTGTTTTTTTATGTTGTTTTTACTTTGTAGTGTTTTATAATGCAGAAATATATTTTGGGAGCTTTATTTTTTGTGTTTGTTTTCCTTTTTTTTGTTTTGACATGATCTGATTCTTTCTGTTTTTTTTTCTAAGATAATTTTTTATGCACATGCACGAAATTTTGCATTATTGTCTCTCTTTACTGTTGCTTTATGCATGTATATTCTTCGTTTTCATATTGAAATACACACAGCTGGATAAAAAGAGAGATTGATAAACGAAACAAATGTTTTATAATGTATTGATCTATTTAATATAAAAATGTGATTTAGATATGAGCAAAAAAATATAGTTTTTGATAAAAAATATAATTTTATTAGAATAAACAATTTTACAATTAGATTTCCGAATAGTTTTGTTAATTAGATCGATAAAAAATGATTTCAAGTTTGATAATTTATTGTGAGAAAAGAATTTTATTTTGTTGTGCATTAAATGTTCAAATACTTACCGTTATATTTGATACGAAATATTATTAACTCTTTAACCTACACTTCAGATAGTCCTTCAAATTGAATTTGATATCATCATTGACCATGAGATGTAGGTTTATTATCATAATATTGACTCAGACATTAAAACAAAATGTTTGCCATTCTTTCTATAACAACAAAATATGAAAGAAACGAAGAAAAGGTTGCTATTTACTTATAGAAAACTTCATCTTTTCTTTGTTCATTCAAGACTAAATCGAAATCAATGATTCCAATGGACAATTTCTTTTTTGTGAGACCAACAAAATATCTAATGATTTCTTGAATGATTTTATAAGCTTATTCATGAATTGTAAGATGAAAGAATTTTTTCTTTCAACTACTGTTTACATATCATAGAATTTGATTAGCAATAAATCTACAAAAAATATCATACAGTTTAGCATTGGGTTATGAAAAAGATCATTTGATATTTTAAAAAAGTAGATCTTTGTTTGAACAACATAACAATTTCTTTTTAGCTCGAATGTTTTTCCAATTAAATTCCTGTTGAATTAAATGAAATATAATGGCTAGCGAAAAATAAAATCTATGATTGAATTCGATATTTGTCCGTATTGAATACTGTTGGAAGAAATTATTCTACTATTATTCAATTTTGTATACTTTTAAGTACTCTCTTCTAGCAATAAATGGTGCAACTAGTGATTATTGTATAATATTACAAGCTCAACTGTCATTGTTAACAATTAGATTTTCTGATAAATCATCAAAACTATTCTCAAAATTAATGCATTTACACTCGGCAATCGTTTGTATTATTATGAGCATCACCATCATAACGATGATTAACGTCGTATTTGTTTTCTCATATTGTGAACAACTACTACTATCAATATTGCCAAAAGTGTTTCATTCAACTAGAAATCGAATTTCATCTGTTTTATCTGATAAAATATAATCGCTATTTGTTTTCATATGAATTTTTATTATTCAATAATCCACATCGTTTATCACATTGAATTTATGTATGAACTTCACGACTATGATCGTATAGTTTTTATTGAATATAGCATTGATCTTATTTAATCATGTTGTTAAAAGTGGTTAGGAGAAAAAAGTGTGTTTTGATATTTTTCTTTGCTTTTGAAACGAAGAAGTGTTTGTAATTAAGTTAATGATTATTACTTATGTTCAAAACAAGTGATTTACTTAATCTAACGAGTACATACAATGTTATTATCACTAAGCTATTATATAAAATTCGAATGATTTTTAATTACAAAGAATTGTAAGAACTCTATGAAGAAAATGACTTTTCATCTATTTACATGTTTTTCATATATTTCTTTAGTACGTAAAATCATAAGAAAATAAAACTTTAGTTTTGTTACGTTACACATTATTTTATGATATATTGCAAACTTGTGATAAAATATTCCATTTTATTTATAAGTAAATCATAACATATTGAAGAGAAAAAACTCTTATCATGATACTTCTCACTAGAATAAAAACTAAGCCGATATAAAAATGAAGATTTTATTCAAAGCTAATCATAAAAGTATACAAGAAGAGAGCTACGTTTTTTTTTTCAAGATTAATTTATTTTTTATATACAGTGTATTTGAGCAGCAAATGATGTCATTTTTATTTCGTTATGTACATAGTGATTGTGCAATAAGTCATATAGATGTTTACTTAACATTTTCAAAAATAAATGTACTTTGTAATCTTCAAAAGAAAATTTCGATATTATATCAAATAAGTCAGAATGATAGCTTGTTGTTTTTTTTTATCATTTCCCTGTAAGAATCTTGATATTATATTCAGAAAAGATAAACATAGCTCTACCCTATCAGTTATGTTGGTCTATCATTCGAATGAGCCTTTCAAATATAACAATACAAATGCTTTAACTAATTTCTTTGACATTAATATAAAAAGATTCATCGTATAATTTTATATGAAGAACTTCTTCGTTCATGAACCACAGGAATTGTTGTTTTTTCTTGATAGTATTGTGTAGAGCATATTTTATGACTTATTGTGAGAAAAACATGATAATGGTAAATTTGTGAATGTTTCCATATTACCCAAAAACTTCGCCATCCTTCAAAGTTGATTAAACAAACTGTTAAACCGATTTATTAGTAGTTTCAAGAAAATTGACCAATATGTTATAATAACAAATTTATGCATCCAAGGTTTCACTTCCTACCTGAAGCTTTTTCTAATCATTAAAATTAATAAAAAATTGATAATTTTTTTTTCTCATCATATGAATACTTGTCAACATTTTCATGAATTGTTTTTTTTGTCGAATAACTTATAGAATGAGAAAGCATTTTTTTAGATTCTTCAATGTTTTGTAGTAAGAGAAAAAATAGTAAGATTATAAAAAGAACTAAGATTGTGAAAATCATACTCTTACTATCAATATCTATTTTGTCGAATCTATTAATATCATTATTATCGAAAAGCTAATAACGTCTGTAGGAGACATTATAATGTTATCGATTGAGAATCAAATTTAAAAATTCCTTAGCACGTTTTGTGTTAATTGAATATTGTATGCTTCAATCACTATTTGTCTCATTACACTAGGCTTAATACTTCGTGATATTTTGTCAAATAAGTGTTAAGATGTTTTGTATTATACACAAAGATTAAGAGAAAAGAATGTTCGTTATTTTGTATGAATAACTCTCTAATTTTCGTTGTTTTTACAGTAACACCTACGATTTTCGATATGAGTGTTGTAATAACAGTAATAAACACTTCAAAAGTATAAGAATATAGACAATAATGATCTAGTCTTATCGGTTTCTTCTTGTTTCTCATCAAAAATCTAACTACAGGATTGTTCATATTTTAATATTACAATAAAAAATTGAAACATCTCCACTTCGATTCGTTCGAATAGGCTGACATGGATATATTTCAATTGTTTATTGGAGTACTATTTATAGACTACTTTGTTTTCGGGCTTAAAAGCTTAGATAAGTTGTTCCAATGAAATCTAAACATCAGAACTAATATGCATCTATTATTGTTTTTATTGTCATCTAGTCAAAAAAATTACTGCTACGTAAAAACCTGCATATTTTCCATAATATCACTTGTAACCTTCCAGTTATTATTTCATGTAATTTCAATAATCATATATGGAAATTTACGAAGCATTCTAAAACACAAAAAACACAAACATCAAATTTACTTAACTGCTACACAAAGAACATCTCGGTTTTGTACGTAATATTTATCAATATATCTGTGTTCTTGAAGTCTTCGTAAATAAAACTTTTGTTTTTAATTCAACAAAGAGAGAAAACAAATGAGTTCATTGCATTAGGAGAAAACAAAAAAAACACAGAATGTCATTCTAATTAAATAATAAAAATTCACAAACTGTCTAAAATAAGAACATGACATGCAAGAGTATATTATAAAATTTATCACAGAATAGATTATATTTGTGTTTATAGTTATGTTGTTTGAAATTGTGCAAGACGATTTTGAAAGGCTAATTTTCGACGAATTTTATCTTCTTCTATATGACGTCGTTGTTCTTGTTCTTCACGAATTTCTCGTTGAAATTTTTCACTATCTTTAATTGCAGCTATCTAGAAGCTCATCTTTAAACAAAACCAAAGAAACAATATTTAAAAAGAAATCTTTACTTTAGCTTCAAAAAAATGCTTTGCACCACCAACACCTTCTTTTGACACATCAATTTCAAAAAGCATTGCATATAGTTGATATAAAATAGATGATTTTGTATATTCTGTTTCATTAGTTTCAGAGATCGCTTTTCGAAAAATGAGTAAAAACTATTAAAGAAATAATAAGAAAAGAATTTATATAATAAAAAAATATATATATAATTATATTTCTTACTTCTCGAAATGATATTTTACCATCATGATCTTCATCGACTTGTTTAATCATTTCTTTTAAACTTAAATGTGTTTGTGGAATACCAAGTTTTTCCATCATAAATTTTAATTCATTAAAATTAAGTGATTTATCTTTGTCGGTATCATATCTTCCAAAAAAAAAAGACAAATACCAACAAAAATAAAACTTACTCATTTTTTTAATTCTACTTACTTATCAAATGTTTGCATTAAACTTTGTATTTGTTTTCGTGAAAATTCATGATATTCAACATATGGATTGAATAAACAAGACCGTTGATATTCACAATTTGTTAATGAACATGATAAATCAATATCATCGATTATTCCATTTCCATTAATTGATGATGTTTCTGAAGACGATTCAACAGATTCAATACGACGAATTCTTCGATTAAGTTTTTCTGCTAAATCAGCATCCATTAAAGAATAATTTTCAATTATTTATTGTTGAAGACTTTAGTCAAACAATCAGACATTCAATAAATGTTGTGTCATACATAAGTACTCAATAAAAGAGACAAAGAGAGAGAGAGTGTGTCGAAAAGATTATCTATCTGTTTACGAGAAAACAAAAGAAAAAGAAAATGTCGATCGATACGGCGGCACATTGTATAACTAATCGAAGCAAGAGAGAATGAGAGAAAAAACGAAGAATCGTCTTCTATCTCTTTATCTCTTCATCTAACATCAACATGTTGTAGTTCATTATATGTCTCTCACGAGACTATTATCATAGAGATGTAATGTACAAATAACACTAGTAGAATAATTATTGATACTAGGTATCACAGTGAAAATTGATAAACGTGTCTGGACACCTACATACATCTAATTTTCTTTATTCTCTTCTCGAATAATGCGTACAAAGCATAGAGAAGAGATGAACGAAATAAAGAACAAACGTGTTTTAGCACATAAAAATAAATTGATTACGTCATAATATGCCCATAAATATATGAGAATATGAGCCTTATGTATTCTTTGTTTAGTTTCCAATCAGAAATGATGTCATAATCATCGAAGAAGATGATAAATCTAACCAAAATACGGATTTTTATATTCATCTTGATATCTTCTCATACATAGAAAAAGAAAAACATCCGAAATGTCTACATTTACTTCAAATGAAAAGCACTGTTTATCTTATTTTTCTAAGAACAGCAATCACTGTCGAACTAAGAACACTTTGAACAGCTACTGCTGCGCATAATAATTGTCTTTGATGCTGTGAATATAATATCACCGATGGTCTTAATAACACGACCTAGAATGTAAAAAATAAATCATGCACTTATATTTTTACGTAATGATATGTTATGTTCTGGGTCAATAGTGACATTGGAAAAATCAAAAAGTATGAGTACACTTTTAGTCATGTACTTAATCAAGAATAAAACAATCAAAATTAATTAAATTTATATAAAGTTTGAGAATTGATCAGTTTGTTCACTTCGTTTCATACTTTTTCTATATCATCATTTCTTATAATTCATTAACTACATAGTTACAAACATACTATCGAAATAAATAGTCGATTTATTATATATGATGAGCAGAGTTTGTTGAATATGAAAAAGAATTTTTTATGATGTACATTAAGAAGATGATGAACTATTGTTTATAGTTATCGATGAACTGCAACAGCAGTGACATATATACGGATAACTATAATATTTAGAATAGCATGATCTATTCTCAATAGATATGCACATTTGTTTGTTACTAGTAATTGTTTTTATTGAATACGTTGTATTTAATGGTTCATTAGCGAATATAAATGTAGCAGGAGTTCGATCGTAAACATCACGTCGACTCCACCAGGGACCATTATTATCAGATTGAGTCATATTATATGTTTCTGTTGGTATCAATGTCGACCAGGAATGCATATCAGATGATATGATAGATGAAGATAAATTTATATTATTATTAGTATTATGTATAGATGGTAATATGAAACCTAAAAGACGTTCTAGTAAGCGTCGCCAAGAATTGATTCTGAAATAAAAATGTGATATGATGTTGAACTTCAAATGAAGATCATAAATCTACTAACTTACATATCATCATATGTAGAACGAGTTTGATCTTTTGTATCTAGGATTATTTTATTATTATGTTGTTTATCTTCGGTATTTGATGAAGTTGAAGGACACTCTTCAGTTAAAGTTGTTCGTGATGATTGAACATTAGTTTTATTATGTTTATCTGTTATTGCTTTTAATAATACTGATGAATGTGTTGAAACAGGTATTGAGTAAACAGTATTAATGGAATCTGAATCGATTAATTTTTGTTTCTTTGCAGGAGTAATTTGTTCGTAAAGATCACTAATCGATCTTGCGCTAGATCGATCATTTGGTTGTGCGAATTCATATTGTTGATCTATTTGAGATGATGATTGAAGTTTAGTATCTTCAAATAATGATTGCTGTTCATGAAGATTTGAAATATTTCTTTTTGAAAATGATCTATCATTTTGAATAGAAGACATTGAAATCTGGTTATTTATTTTCGTTAATTTTAATGAATTTATTCTTCGAATTTTATCTTGATTGACTTCTGAAGAATGAGTAGAATTAATTGTTGATAATAAATTATTGTTTTCAACTAAATTTGGAATAGATGTTTGTTGTTGGTTCATATTAATAAGATTTTGATCTTCGAATTCATCTGGATAGGTTTTTTCTAAGTTATATTTGTTTTTATTTTCATGATACAATATTCTATCAGTATTTTCATGAAATTCATATGTCGAAAAAGCTTCTTGGTGATTAGGAATATCAAGAGATGTATTTGAATTTTGTACATCATTCTTATTTAATTGCGCTTTCTTTGTTTTATTTGATGGTAAAACTGATGCAATAGTGTATGAACAATCATCATCATCATCATCTGATAAAGCTTTATCTTCATCATTTATTATTATTTGATTAGATTGATCATGTCTGAACTCTGAAAAAAAAACCATTCATAGATTTATTGAATTTACTATTCTCATTTTTACAGACTATCAATCAAATGATCTTCTTGAGACAAAGCGAATGATGATGGCCATGGATATTCTTGATCATTCCAATCTAAAATATTTGATGATTTACTCTTTTATATGATTTTATAAGTTACTATAAGGTTCTTGATTTTGTGATGAATTTTTTTTATCAAGTACTTTTTCTTGATCAATATTTGTCTTGTTCGAAGTTAAATCCCAGTCTACAAAACGAAAAAATAAAAATAAAAGTAAAACAAATTTTAAAACGTTCTTTTCTCTCTTTCTCTCTCTATTACAATAATCATCTGCAGTGGTTTTTGTTGATGTGTTGTCTAAAGAGAGTTCAATAGATGAATGATGATACATTGGAGATATTGTTTTTACATCTAAGATAATACAAAGACATATAAATATATGATTATAAGCATTGATGATATACTTTGTTTTTTAAAGACAAGTCCTTGATATTGATATTGATGTTGTCTAATATTATCATCACTTTGTATTCTTTTTTCATGATAGAATGATTTTTTGTTTGATTCATTTAGTTGAAAATTATTTTCGATATTTGTCGATAATTTTTTATCTATTTTAAGATCATTTTGTTTATTACAATGAGTTGACATCATTTTAATTATCTGAGATACACGATCAACTCCATCACCGATAATATCATTAATAAACGAATTTACATTAATTTTTAAAGGATTTATTGTTTTATTTAAAGATTTTTCTTTTGTAGAGCAACTATTAAGATCATCATCATTGATTTTCTTGTCCGAAAATGTGACAAATCCATCAATTGACATAGACTAGAAATAGACATCAAAACACCTTAGTACTTAAGATATGTGTAGCACTGAATTATTTCGGTTTTTATTTCTGCTCAAATCGAGAGTAAGACTAGACTTATATAGATCTCTGTACATCATTAGAAACTTCAAAGCACATAAAATTTGCAAGATACACAACAAAAAAGTAAAGTTTGTCCGAAAAAAATCTATTTGATTTCGGATTATTCAAATAAATTCATTTTACTTTATTATTATCACATAATTGGTTTTTTAAATTTTGAAAATTTCTATGAATATCTTCGTATAAATCAGGTCCATATTGAACAGTACATTTAATACAAGAATCATCGAATGATTCAAATGCTTTTTGACAAAATGTCGATTCATTATATAATGGTGACCGTTTAAAATATGTCATTTGTATGTTTGAAACTTTATCATTAGACAGAGATTGTATTGGTAAATTAGATTTTAATTGTATGTCAATTTTTTTATTTTCTAATGAAATTTTGTTCATAGATGTTTCAAGTGTTTTATCGTTTTTAATTGATGTTACATGATGTTTCCTCCGAGTACAACATGGTCCAAACCAACTAGTTGAGTTCTCATTTTTATTATCTTTTTTCTTTAAATTTTTTTCATTCTTTTTTGATTTATCAAGTTTTCTTTTCTTATTCGTATGATGTTTATATAAATCCATTTAAAAGTTCAGTTATAGATAAATCAATCGTCATTATGATTGACATATATTCAAATACAAATCAACATTTTCGAAATGGAAGAAAAAAAGAAAGAAAGAAATTAAAATTCCAACGCGCAAAAAAAAAACGAAATTTCATTTTAGAGGACACTCATTTTGATTCTATTTATATAAAGAGCAGAAGTATAAATAATTATGTATGTGTAGCCAATAGAACAAACAAAAAAAAAAATTTAGCGTATATGAGGCAAAAAAAAAGAAAAAAGGACAAAAGACACAAAAAGTATGAAAACACCAAGTCGTAGGATGGACGGGAAATAATGTCGAAAATTAATGAAAAGAAAAAGAAACAATGTAATTGATGTTTCGATTGTATTATGTACTTAGACGATATGGACGCCAATGATTATCTAAATCAAATAAAAATAATTAGATCATTATCTTATGAAATTCTAATGAAGCTTTTTTCAAGAGGAGAATCATAAGTTTTTTTTTTCAACTAATACTACCATTAAGATATTATTTTATTGTTAATATCCTGTTAAATAAAATTTTTTTTCGATATGTAATACAAAGAAAATTATATAGCATACTTTTCTGTGTATTTTCTATTACTGTTTGAATACCAGTTACCCATTGATCAGCTTCCTGTGAATTAGATGCATATAACTAAACAGAAAACATATATGATTGTTATTTTTTATGAATGGAAAAGTATTAATTATGTGTAGATTGAAGATAGGATATGTGGTAAATAAAAACAATTTTTGTGACAAGTTTCTTTGATTTTATCTTATGAGATTATGTTTAGTTTAGAAGTAAAATGTTATTAAGTCTCATTCAATTATTGGAAATTCTGAGTAAACCATTGACTATAAATGGAAATATTTTCTAGTTTTGTGCAATGAATAGTAGAAATTTTATATAGATTGTTCAACTTGTAATAATATTATTGAGTCAAAAAGATATCTTCAGATAATTTGAAATTGCTCTGAACTCTCTATGATTTCATAAGATATAGAATAGCAATGGTTCTTACTAGAATCAGCAACTATTATAACAAAAAAGAAATATTTTCCAATAGAATGAAAATTTTAAAAACAAAAATTACAAGATATTAGCAGTGGAAAATTTTTCTATTTTACAGATATTCTTCAAGAAATAGTTCATAAAAATTATTTTGTAAAAAACAAAATTTCTATATTCCAAATAAATTAGAAAAATGACTTCACCACTATATTTAACTTTAATCTATTTATCTATAAAATGTTCTAATGCTATCAATCTTATTCGGATACTGTCTGAATACAACAGTTGGATTTTGCTGCTTCAATTTGTATCATATTGAACACCAATAATGTATACTTTCAATATGAACTGATATTGTCTTTTCATTATTAATCAAGAACAACAACAAGGCATATCTCTGAAGTATTTGTTTTCATCTAGGATTCGCACAGACTCTAGATGGATGAATCAAGGTTAAAAATGGATATATTCTCATTTCAATATCAAGATATTATAAGTTCTAATTTACGTGATAGTGTTTCATATCATTTGATCGAGTTGTCCAAGTTAATTCAAGTGATGGACCATGTTTAGAATCATCATAAAGATATACTTTTGCATCTAAATATTCATTAAATAAAAAGCATTTTATTATTTGTTTTTCTTTTTTTGATTTCAAAAATTAATTTTTTTTTAACCTTTAAGACCTATTGCTTTATGTGGCATTCTATCATTTTCATGTCGATATATTAACAGTGCATCTTCTGTTAAAACACAATAATAACGTTCAATTCGTTTTAAAAATGAATCTCGATTTTGTTTTCGAAGCCATCCTTTAACAAGACCATTCATTTGGGTAGCTGATTGATTTCCTTCAACAGGTGTCATATAAATCGATCCTAAATATAATAAATAAATATTAAGATATTGTGTGGAAAGAAAAGAAAAACAAAAGGATAAATTAACCTGGATCATCATATTGCACCGGTCTTGCACCGAATTCAAGTGAAGATGTTCTATTTGCTGATCTTAAACTTTGATTATTTTTATTTATATTTTGTAATGATTCGAAACTTCGATGTATATTAGAATTTTCATTTGTTTTTGTTGCATTATTTGTTGGTGTAAGATTAGTTTTTCTAAAAGGTTGATTTCTGGGACTTGATGAATTTGATGATGATGTTGAATTTGATTGTTTTTGTATTATAGTATCTGTTTTATTATCACTATGAACACTTGATACAACTTGTTGTTGTTCCATTGAAATAGGTTCAAGATTTTGTTTTCGATTTTGATGACGAACTTGAGCTAAACTATAGCTTGATGATGATCGATGTGTAAGATCTCCTCCATTTGATTGATGAATTATATTATCAAGACGACTTGATGCAGCTGGTGTTTCTGTTGAAGGACCTGATGGAACTGATGAAGATTCAGATGCAACACGACTTCGCTTGTTTGAAATATCTTTCATAGGTTTAGCTCTTGTAGGTTCATTCTCCTTGTTGGTTGTTGACCATTGATGACCAGCACGTGGTGCAGCAGTCTATACATATAGATAGAAAGAATTTACAATAACTTCTATGAATATCTTTCATGACAAGTTCTATTGATTAGAGAATCTCATAAAGAATTTGTTAGCGACGATTATATAAAATTATTATAAGAATATTTGAAATTTCATTCGGAAATACAATTTATAGTCTTCTTATCATCTTTTAATATTCGAGAAAAAATTCAACAGTCAACATTGTATTCATTAATCGACATCTTATAAACGTATTAGCCATTATAGTTGAAACTTTGAGAACACGTATAGGCAACTCCACTTTAACTTTGATGAGAAAAAAACGTCTACTCTGGAGTGAACTTTAAGGGATGGTTGGAACTGCTTATCTCTTTTTCAAAATATTTTGAAAGATACAGGACTAGACTTGAGAACATTTCTGGTTCAAATCTTTAATGCTAGTTTTTTCTCTATATATCTTGTTACGATAAAGAGGTTCAGTAAAACGATCAAAAGTTCAAGAGTCGAATTGTGAATACAAGCATTTTTTTTATTTGATTTTTTTAAAGTTGTTTCAAAATCTAGTTCAATTAATACAATGAAATCATAACACACTAAAACATCAAATTACTTTTTTGTAACGGTACCAAATCATTGAGGAGTTATTCTATTGAAAAGTTTTTCATTCTACTTCCAGCATAATTTAGAATATTCATTTTTATAATAATCAAAAACTCTCAAAAAAGTCTAACTCTTAGGAAATGTTTGGAACTTGAATATATTTCATTTCTTTCTTTCAACAGAAAAAATAAACTGAAAATATATTTTTTTTTAACCTTTTTCGTTGATGATTTCATATTGTCTGTAAGAGTTGTTGATGCATCTGACAATTTTCTATTTGATTGATTATCTTGTTCATTATTATCATGTTGATCATATAAGTTATTTTTTTCATTCGTTGTTAAATTTTTCTTTTCATCTTGTTCACGTTGTTCATGTACATATAAACGATCACGAAAATGATCACGTTCTGTTTCAATTTTAAGTATTTTACTTTTTAAACGTTCGATAACTTCATCTTGTTGTCGAATAATATATGTTTGTTGATTTATCATATCTTCTAATTTTTTTAATTTTAATTCTAATTTTTCATTGATTTTTTGTGCATCGTTTTCTAGTTGTTTTCCTAATTGTTGAACTAAAGTTGTTAATTTTCTTTCAACCAATTGATTCTCATCTGATTGTTGTTGATAATTTGAATGAGCCATAACAATACCTGAATCACTACCAACTGTTGAATAATAATCTTGTTGTTGTTCTTGAGTTGGAGATTTATATACTGATAAATCATCATCACGAATTCGAGATACATATGGAGCTGCATTAAGAAGAGAGCTTTGTTCCTGGTGTTTTTGTTGTTGTTGCTGTTGCTGTTGGCGACGAAATTCTTTTTCAGTAATATTTAAATTAGTTGTACTAATAAAATGTTGTTGACAATTATGAGCTGATAAATTATCAAGTGTTGGGCTTGTAAAATGCATCGAATCACTTAAGGGAGCTTCAACAAGACGTGAAACTATTGGATCATAACCATGATTCGAATAACGCAAACCACCACCATAACGAGATGTTGTTTGAAATCTGTCTTTGTTTAAAGGGGAATCTTAATAATTGAGACAAAAAAAATGTTTGAATTAGATTAAAGACATCCATGTCAATTTTCATTGGTGATATTTAATTAAGATTGAAATTAAAATATCATTCTTCTTATTACATAAAAATTTTAATCTTATCAATATCAAAAGTAAACTATCATTTGAATTTTCAAATAAGATGTTCAATATAATATTTCATTGAACCGCTTTGAAAGACAACTTATATTCCAGGACATCGAATGTGTGTACGTTTTCTTTTTTGCTTAATCAGTTTGTCTTAAAAATGATATCAAATACAACATTTTCATTGTTGCATTTATGTATGCTAAATAATCTTACAGAGTATCATTTCTTTAGTTAAAACCTATTAGAAAACCTTAAATAGTTAGAAATTGTCATCTTTCGATTATGTAACTCTACATGTCTAATGTTAGCAGTAATGTTGATTTAAGTAAAAAGAAAAAGAAAAAAAGAGTCCCTAAAATTTATCTATAATTTATGATGTAGAATAAAGATTCCTGAAATCCTCAAATCCCCTTGAAATAAGAATTCTCACAAGCAAATAAAGTGAAAAGAATAATATCTCAATCTTTTTTACGTTTTAATATCTTTTTTTGCCATTCAATGGCATTCTCTAAAACGTATGTATGTTACCAATTTGTAATTTTTTGTCGTGTTTTTTAACTAGCTTACAAAAAAACGACGAAAAAAATGTTTATTTACTTCGATAACCATTTGTATTTTTATCATTTGTTGTTTGACTACTTCTCATTGCAGCATATTCCTTAAGAGGAGTGTATTGGTAATTAGCTTGAAACATTTCTGATGTATCGTTTTCGTTGTCACTTTCTATTCCATTTTGCTTTTGTTGTTGAATTCGCCTAGTTGTTCGACTACCATCATTGTATTGACCTATGCAAACAAAAAAGACAAATACTAACTGATAAGAAAAAAAAGAGACATTGTAACAGAAGCATGAGATTGATAAAGAGTATATATATACATGGTGTGAATGAAGATGAAGACAAAAAAGAGAAACGAGAGAACATTTTAAAAGGATTTATATTTGTTCATATGCATTGGTCACACTCGTGTTTATCGTTACGCATAAGATGATGATAACTGCGTACAAACATACATGAAATTCAATTCTTTCTATTATTGATTTCAATTATATTTCTTACAGATAGAACCATATACAATGATAGCCCGATAGGGAGTACTAGAGTAAATAAAACATCCCTTCGATCATGAAAAACTTTTATTTTTTCACAGCAGAGCTAAAATTCTCTTTTTGCATTTTGTTAGACGATATATGTTCTCCCTTTGCAAAAAAAACTATCATATTCTCTCCTTCGACCAATGTTGGCTGCTTAGAGCTACTATTGATTAAAGGTAAGTACAAATTTTGCATAATAGACACGGAAGACAGATAAATTTTCTTTTAAAAAATAGCTAGTAAGTAGTGATCAGTTATAGTACACTTTTTTTATTTGATTCCGTCTTCACTTTGTATACATTTCGTTTATAATCTTTTTGAATAGGAATGCTATGAATTAACATCATCGATTAACAACACACAAAACAAAAGAAATATATGTTGAACGTGAAGATATATCTTTTGTTTTTTTGTTCTTTATTTTATTATACATTTTAAATCTTACCATTACGCTGATGATATTCTCTTTCATTAGTTTGTGATGGAAGATAGCCATCTAGTTCAGATACTTTTGTTGTTTTATTTATTTGAGATTGTTGTTGTTTTTCTTCAAAATATCGTATAGTATTATGAACATTGGTTTCTGTTGTATTAATTTTTGATGGTATACTAGCAAAATCTCGATAATCGGTAACAATAGAATCAGGTGATTTAATTTTAATACCACCATTGGTGATTCGATGAGATGAATTAGTCGTGGTTGTACCGTCCATACATTTATCACAAATATAATTTTCATTTTCGCCATAGTAAGAAATCGTTTCAGGTTTCACACAACGCCAATGATATAAATCATGACAAACACGACCTATATTATTAAAGATCAAATAAATGAAAGAATATTTGTAAAGAAATACTAACAAACAAGGATTTCTTCAAATGAATATAGAAGACGTTTACATATATTACATGTTGTTTGTGGTACTAATGTTTTTGGTGATGCATAACTAAAGGAATCCGATGAAATATTTGTTGTAGTCGTCATAACTGAATTTCTATTATCAAATGTTACTATCAATGAAGTTGGTTGTAACGAGCTTGACAGCAACAAACCTAACTCAGTAGAGGTATAAATAAAATAGATAAGAGTTAATAAACATAAAACAAAAACTGAAGGACAACCAAGAACATACATAGATCTTTTTCTTTCTTTCTTTCTTACCTTTTTCTTTTTGCTCTATTTTTACATATTCTCATCGTATGAAGACTCATCCATAAACCATCAAAGATATATAAACACAAATATATCTACATATGAACATGACTTATACTCAATATCAACGATACCACTTAGTAACGGCAAACACTTCTAAAACATTTCTCAATCAATAAAAATTATCCATTGAATTTATTTTTTGTTCCGTTTTTTATCGCTAATTCTAACTTAATTATTTTCGTTTGTAGAAAAAAAAAACATTTTTTTATCTTCGCATTTTTTTCTTGATGATAAACTTTCTTTTCTTTAATTTTTTTTTTATTTTACAAAATAAAACCATTTTTTTAAAAATCTATGTCTAACAAACAGTTAAAATGTATGCATAAGTTGTATACTTATTGTTTTTTGCTTACCTCCACTGATGATTACAATGAAATTATGCCGTCCACTTTGTACTGCGAATATGAGTCAACAGATATGCACTTATCTTTCGTTTTGATCAGTTATACACTAGAGGTACAATTATGCCTGACGTCTTTCTTCATTTCATCATCTCTCAACCTTTTTCTGTTTACTTGTCTTAGACTGAAAAGAAGAATGTTGCCTTGCTTTATTGCTCAAGTGTTTTTGTTTCTCAATCAATAGCGATTATTACTTTTCTCTCTCTGCCTCCCTTACTTCTTCTGTAAATTAGACGTAAAATATTTAATATGTTCATACATACATATATATATATATGGGGTTAGAATATAACGTTAGAACATATGCAAGTATTTTTCTTTTCAGATTTCATAACAACATTCTTGACAGTATTTAAAAAAATCAAACAAGTGTACTAAAAAGAATTTTTTTACGATACTTACGATCATCATATTCATCTTCGCATCATCGTCTATATGTATATGAAAAAAAAAGAACAGAGGTCAAATGTTCTACGTGCCAAATTCTTTCGCTTTTGATTTTTTGTGTTTTTTTTTCTCTTTGGACTTAAATATATGAGAACAAGAAGAACAAAATGAAGAATATGTATTGGCACTACTATTACTACTTGTTGTACTTGTGTGTGCGTGTTGTGCGTAAGAACGAAAATAAAGTAGTATTTATTGTTGAAAGAATGGCATGCAAACGTTGCAACTGCTATACCGTATTGAGAGAAGAGAGAAAGAGAGGATTGAATAGCACTCACGCGCAAACGCGCTTTTCGTTCTTTTAGTATGACGACCACCTGTCGTCATTCGATGATCGCTTATGGATTGTAATCTTAAGTAGACTGAAGGCCCTATCTTATTCTTTTTCTTTATTCGTCGATATTAAAATAGACAGACAGACATTTTAGAAATGAATATTGAAAAAAAGTTAATTAATTTTCACCATATTTAGTACAGAATAATTTTATCTCCAATCACTTTTAATAGTAATAATAATAATAATAGTTCTTAAACAATGTGTACTTTTTATCCAGACATATTCAACAGAATAATAATGCATTTATTGGTCGAGTTATTTCTTTTTCAACAAAACACTTCAATATATTTCAAAACAGTCGATATGTTATATAGAATAATATTTTTGTTTATATTTTAATCGATTCAATGATTTTATTTAGTCGATAATCTTATAGATGATAACGGAACTGTTGACCTTGTTGTATTATTTTCATTATTATAAGTTAACTTTTGTTGATTAGATTCTAAACATGGTGTAGAATATTGATAACGAAATATAATTGAATTTAAACGATCCATTTCTTTGTCTTGAGTTTCAATCAATATTTCATTTTGATATATTTCATGTATTTTCAAATGAATCTTTTTATTTCCATGTAATATATCTGATATATTTTGTAAAAATTCAGTTTGTTCATTTGTTTTAATTTTTAATATCAATAAACGTTTTTGAATCTTTTTTTGAATATCATCAAATAAGTTATGTAATTCACGAAGTTGATGTATAAATGGTGCAATAGCTGAATAAGGAATAAATACATAAATAATATAGAAATGACAATTTTATCTTTACCTTTGCGATGTTCACGTTGAATATTAGCAAACGATTGTTTATTTTCTTCAGTATATTTGGTTAGATTATTCAACTATACAAATAAATGGAATAATCTTTGATTAAAAAAATAAATTTAGAATTTAATGACACAAGTCTTTCATAAACTATCGACAATTCAATTTGAAATGGTACATTTTTCTTTTATAAAACTGGTTTTTTTTAGTTCTCAAGAAAAAAATTGATCAGAATGTTCTCGAAAACTTGTATTGTCAATTTTAAGTAGATAGTGTCTAATGAATACAACGGATTATAATCAATACAAAAATAATATAAAGATTGAAGGTCGAATATTTATACATAGCCACTTGTTACAAAGTCGATTGAAGGTTGACGATAAAACTTTATTACTTAAGAGTCATTGAAGACTGTAGCAAATAAAGAAATGTGTGCATATGTATATACGCCTGTTGAAAATAAAATAATTTCAGCCGGTATTCTATCATAGATATGTAAATTGTTTTGATTATATATTCTTTGTGAAATCCTTGTGAATGTGAGAACGGTTTAATTGTAAAATGTTCAATAGAATTGAAGAAAGTGGCCAAAGGCTACTATTTTAATTCTTTCCTTTATTTTATACTCTATGATAAATACTTGAGGAGTAGATGAAAGGAAGAAATGATTTTTTTTCACTATAAACTGAACATTCGTCCTTCGAAATAATCTCATAATATGATTCAAGATTTGGTGTAACAGTATCTATCATGATTTGTATAGACACAGTTCACATTTCATTTCTGCGTATCCTATTTAGTCTTGGTTGTCTATTATGATTAATTCAATTAAGATGTATTTTTAATCAAAATTAAGATTTTGTTGTTTAGATTAGAACATAACAGATTAAATTTATATGAACGAAAGAAAAGCTTTGACACAAAATAATCAAGGATGTGACGAAGAAAAAATGTAGAAGAGGGTGGGTGACAAGAATGTTTTTTGAAAACTGAAAGTGTATATATACAATTTTTTAGAAGTGAGAAGACTGCTGAACTTTTTTTTTGTTCATTTTACAATCTTTTTTTTTAAATAAAAAATACGATTTTTTTTATACTTGATTAAGTAACCATTTTCGTTGATTATTCCATTCTTTCATAAATCCTTGTATTTCTAATTGATTTTCAGTTTGTTGCTCATTTTGTATCGAATTACACATGTCTTGAATAAATTTTTTAAACCGTTCTCTTGGATTATTTGTTGGATTTGTTATATCGAATGTACAATTTATTTCAATCAATTCGAATGCTGTTTTTATTAGTTCTAAATTAATACATGATACTAAAAAGTTTTCTTTCATAACTTTTATCATACCTTTTTGTTGTTGAACTATTTTCCATAAATATCGATGATTTATTTTTGCTTGATTTAATTGTTTGGATGATTCATTCAATTTTATTTCATATTCATTTTCACGTAATACTAAATCATTTTGTTGTCGTTTAAGAATTGTTAATTGTTGTTCAATATTTTGATTATTTGTTTTTAATCTTATTATTTCTTGATCGATTGGTTCAATACGTTCTAATAAAGACTTTGTTTTATAATCAAGGACATATTTACGTTTTTCAACATGTAATATATGTTGTTGTAAACGATGTAATTTTATATCATGTGCACCAATACGATCTTCTTTCTTTTTAATAACTAAACAATAAATATTTGCCAAAAATCTAATTAGACAAAAAAACATACTTAAACGAAAACGATCAAGTTTTTCAACTAGTTCTGATTGGCGATTATACAATTCTTTAACTTCTTTTTCGATATCATTTCGTTTGATATCACGAGATTCTAATCTATCGATTATAGCATTGTAACGCTTACGAAGAGTGCTCACCTGAAACAAAATAAAAGAATTAATATACATTTTTACTTTGTAATAATCGACTATTTCATCTTCATTAAGTTAGAGATTTTCTCTTGGTGAAAGCTTGTTCATTCTATTTGTTTCCTGTCTTTATATTTAAACAATCTCAGTATTCGAATTAGAGTACGACCATGATACGATTAAATTAAAAAAGAAAACAAAATGGATGAGAAATTCATCAATTTAAAACACAATAAACTACATGAAATTCATTGTGTTTTAGTTTTTATTATTAATCGATCAGTTTTACTTCGATCAATCGAAAATAACACACTTAAATAAGAAATAGTAGTCGAATGAAAAGTAAAGAAACTTAATTGGTTTTGGTCTTGAAACCACATTAAGAAACAAAATAATAATAAAAGCGATAGAAAAATGTAACAAATAGAAATAGGTGATTTTCAAATTCTTGATGACAAACTATCATGTAGAACTACTTTGATGAATCATTTTTTGGTCATAGATAAACTTTATCTGACTGACTACCGGAATATTTCATAAAACTGTATATCTTTTGTCAATGTTCCTAAAATCTCTATAACATACAGTCAACGTAAGTCGTTTTGCGTATTCATTTAAAAATTTCAATTCATTTTCATAATTAATTTTAACATTTTCAATTTCATCATCAATATCGATTTCCATTTGTCGTATATATTCATTTATTTGATGTTCTTTTTCTTGAATTATTTCATTATTATGAACAGCTGAACGCCATTTTGATTGAAGTGTTACATTTATTTTTTTGATTATTTCAGTTAGATTATTATATTCTTTATTATTAAAATCATTGATTTTAGTTTGATGTTCTGTTTTAAGTTTTTCTAATTGAGATTGTGTATTTTGAATACGTGAAAGCTAAATAACAAAAATAAAATAAAACAAAAACGAGTCATTTAAATGG